ATGTTCACAACTCCAACCGCCAGACTTCAACGATGCGGACGGAACAGCAGGCGGTGCCACCCGGCAGAATGGGGTCGGGAGTCCTTCGGCGGGCTGGAATGGGCTTTGTGCCTGTCGATAATCCTGGTTTGCTTCATCCCCCTCAGTTAGAGTACAAATTCTTTCTGAAATATGGATTAAGTGCAGCGCAAGCTTATCAAATTTCTGCTTGCAACCCTCCACGTTCGCGTCTAGACCCCGCTCTTCCCTCACCGGTCACAAGTCCCCCTGTGAGACGCTCACTCCTGCTTCTGCGTACTGTGCCGTTGGCCATGATGCGAGCTACTGCAGGAACCTCTCAAACAAACATATCCCTTCTCGAACCGAATCGCCTACTATTCACTTTTCGCTTATAATAGCGGTGTATCAGCCGTTGATCATTTCCTCTCCTTTTTGGGCACCTGTGCATACATTTCGGTGGACTTCTGAGCCCCCATTTTCTATTATTGAGCGCGATCGAAGCTGGCGCGCTACATGAATATACACATATCTTTGAATCCCTGATTTGATAAATACATCTGCTCCGAAATGCCTGGATTACCAGGTAAGCATCTATCCCCGGCCCTGGATCTAGTCCCCACTCTTCTACTCGTCCTGTGCGGCCCCTCACCGTTGGAACAGCTAGTATCGACCTCGACGAGTGCATTGAGAGACTCTACCGGAAAGAGTTGCTGGCAGACTCGGTGATCGAAGCGATATGCGCCAAGGCGAAGGAATTGTTGATGAAAGAGAGCAATGTGGTCCACATTGCGGCTCCGGTCACGGTGGTCGGAGATATCCACGGGCAGTTCTTCGACATGATTGAGATATTCAAGATCGGAGGATTCTGTCCCAACACGAATTATTTGTTTCTTGGTTAGTATTCCGCATGATATCATACCAGTGTTCAGAGAGGAAAGAAAGGAAAGGGGCAGCCACAAGTAAAAGCGTGCCGATCCCCAGACAGAATCCGGGTTACGGTGAACATGAATGCTGACGGGCGTTCTCTTACAATCCAAATAGGCGACTACGTGGATCGAGGCTTGTTCAGCGTGGAGACAATCTCCCTCCTCGTGTGCTTGAAACTACGATACCCCCAGCGCGTCCACCTTATCCGCGGCAATCACGAGTCGCGTGGTGTAACGCAATCGTACGGATTCTACACGGAATGCGCGCGCAAATACGGCAATGCCAACGTATGGCATTACTTCACGGACATGTTCGATTTCCTGACCCTAAGCGTGGTCATCAATGACCAGATCTTCTGCGTACATGGTGGCCTTTCCCCGTCCATCCACTCCATCGACCAAATCAAAATCATCGACCGGTTCCGCGAAATCCCGCACGAAGGCCCCATGGCCGATCTGGTTTGGTCCGATCCCGACACCGAACGGGATGAATTCTCCCTGTCGCCCCGTGGAGCGGGCTATACATTCGGTGCGCAGGTGGTCCGCAAATTCCTTGAGGTCAACAGCATGTCGCATATCCTACGGGCCCACCAGCTGTGCCAGGAGGGATATCAAGTTCTCTACGATGACCGACTCAGTACGGTCTGGAGTGCACCGAATTACTGCTATCGGTGCGGAAACCTGGCTAGCGTCCTGGAGGTAAGTGACACAGGCGAACGATATTTCAATATTTTTGACGCCGCGCCGGAAAATGATATCCATCGGGGCGAACAGCAGGCGCAACAGAATAAGGATGGCCAGAGTCCGGTGATTGACTACTTTCTGTGATACCCTTCTTATTTTCTTTCCTCTTTCCCTTTCTTTTTACTTTTTTTGCCTGAGGTTGCTTCTTTACTGTCATTTTTGCTTTTCTTTCTTCTATTTCCCTTTTTTATTTCTTGTGCCCTTGTTCAAACCCACTTCTCTTACATCATTCATGGATTTTCTTGGGGAGTTTGGTAAATATCACAGGCATTTATAGACAATATCCCATGGTGCGATGTACGAAGCAGACGCAATTAGAAAATCAGAAAATCAGTCAGTCACACAGGATATCTCGGTTCTCGAGGGGGCAAACAGAAAAAGAAAAAGCCCAGAACAGGATAGGACCGGGCCGAGCCGCATGCAAACGGCCCTTAGTATGAATGCATGATGCGGTTATCGGGATGGTAGTAGATAGGGCGATAACTCCGTAAGGAGAGGAAATCATAGCCCCAGATTACTTAATGTGAATACTGTAGGTGCATGTAGTGTGTGTGTGTAGCCCGTTATCAGGAGCGTAGCAGACAATGAAGGGTTGTAAAATATAATATTGTATTTCCAGAACTCGGACAACAGTAAGATGCAGATAGGTGGGTAGGTAGGTCCAACGCTAGTAAAACTGCGAAGAAAAGGCAGGGATATGATGTGATGTGTTTGCGCTTCTCATGGAGTATGATATGTGTAGGCAGGGTAGGTAGATCATAGTTTCATATATGAGGTGGAAGAAAAGAAAGAAAGTTGTGATGGGAAAAGCCAGAAAGCAGAGCCAGTCCGACTGGCTATTCTAGAAGACACAATGCACTTCATTCTTTCTACCAGTCCTTGGCAATGTCGAAGGACCACTCGAACTGGAGGTGGGTGTGGTTGTCATCGTCGACGAACTTGGACACGGCGTTGTAGTGGCCACGGTACATCATGCCTGAGGGGGCTTCCTCGGCGTTGACTGCGTCGGGTTAGTACTTTTATATCTTTTTCCTTTCTACTTGTGTCATATAGTAGGGTAGTGGCTTACACTTCTTCTCGTAGACGGGCTTGTCGGTGGTGCTGGGAGCGTAGCTTCCCTATAAGCGAGTGAGTACATGGCTTACATCCTGCGATTGTCGAGACGAGAGTACTTACCAGCATCTCCTCGTCCTTGCTAACTCTGATACCCTTGCGCTTCACGACCTGCAGGTACTTGAGACCGCTCAGAACCTCATGGTGCACCTGGAAGACGACCTTGATGTGGAAGGTGGCGCCCTCCTTGATCGTGAAGGGCTTGTCCTTGAGGGTCTCGAGCGCATGGGGTGTAGACAGGTCAATCACAACATCGGGACGTCCCTGCACCTCCAGGGCAAGGGACTTGATGATGCACTTTCTGGGATCATTGGGGTCGCCAATGGGATTTCCAGTCGCCAGACCCAGAGAGGCCTTCCAGCGGTTGAGAGATTCGTCGTTCTTGTCTGTGGGGGATTTGAATTAGATACGAAATTTGAGGCAAGTGGAGAATTCCAAGAAAAAGCCAAGTTTGCGGGAGAGAGAGAGAGAGAGAGAGACGCAAATTAAATTTCAACGGTGGGGTTATCAGGAATGCTCGCGCTGTACGTTTGACGGGACTGGGCAGCAAGCAAGGGGGGAGGCGGCGGCGATGCTGGATGCCACGAGGCTACAACCACGGGGAGTGGGAGGGGTATAGGATTGCCCGGGAGGGGGTAGGCCAGCGTAGATAGCACATACCAAGGTTCTGGTACTCTTCAATGGTCTTCTTCTCTCCGACCTTGAAACCCTCGGTCTGGGAGGCGACGAGGTCTTCTTCGTGCTCAGGCATTATTGTTGTTGGTGGGGTATTTGGAGATAGGGGGAGATGGGAGGGGAGATGCTGATGTTGCTCCTCGCAAACGGGATATACGGACTAGAAAAAGGTGAGTCTTCGTCAGGAGAGTCTAAGAGACATTGAACATCACGTACCAGATGGTAGGAATACAGGAAACTGCTGAGGAGAGAATTGTTTAGGAATGTTTTGGAGTGGAAGCAGTGGACTAAAGTAACAAGTGGGGGGAAGAAAGGCGGTGGAGGAGTGGATGGGAGTGGATGGGCCAGACCATCTCGCCTTGTGTCCGCCGAAGATTAAGGGGAGCCAGAGCAATCCATGGAACAGGCCACGCAATGGGTATTTTTGGAACGGATGAAGATTGGGGTTCTTGATTCTCTTGACTTCACGATCCCTACGAGAAATGAGACCACGCTAGGTTGCTAGACAAGCACTGAGGTCCACCTCTCTGGATGGAATCCCGGAGATGAGATACTATAGAACTGCTCCATTCTTAGCATCTACCATTGAGTACTTTACGTGAGAGGCAATATCACTCGGTTTCAATTGTTCTGAATGGCGTGAGATACTCATATAGTCCTTGATTACCATCCAGTTATCTGCTCAAACTGAGCCTCTTCAGCCGGAGGGCTGTTGTGCACTTTTACATCCCAATAATGATGAATGTTGGTTGACTCTGCAATTGGGCGAGAGAAGATGTGTGTTTGCGCGTTGTAATGATAAGGTCTCCATTGGGGCTCTATCACTGTCGTAGTTGTTATTAGACATTAAGATATTCCTGAAGATGGCTGGGCTGAGCTTTCCACTACAAATCCGTAGTGCCACTATAGAATTGGCCGTAGTAGTTGGGTTATATATATCGCTGGCGTACTACTACTATCTACTAACTACTTTACTTACTAGTAGTACGATATGTCTTAGACAAGTCTAGAGTTGGGGTGCTCGAGTGGCTAGTATCTACTACCAATCACTCGGTTAACAATTTTGGAACCAGCACTCGGAAGATATAAGCCAGTGGTTAAGTTGTTTCATGCTTCGCAGACCTGGTGGGCATGTTTCATTCGAGTCCAGTGTGTCCCGAATGGACCAAATTCAAGTGCCCGAATGTCCGACTCTAGGCATATTGCGCATAGGCATTATGCACGGTATATGCGGGTGGCCAACTCAGGACCTACCAGTCATGGATTAATTCAATACGGTAGGCTATTGTCTAGGGATCAAGCTGTGAATGTTCTTCTGGTAGGATAAGTTACTTCGATGCGGACCGCAGCCATGGATCCCATTGCAAGGAACCCGAAAACAACAAAAATCGTAATGGATGGGCGTCACGGGGACAACCGGCAGCGGTGAGGCGCCAAGGCAGCGATACCATGATGAGCGAAACACGTCACAACAGATACCGGGGGATGGGCCGGCACCGCAGATACTTGCTGTTTTGGCTTGCCCCACTAAATTCCGTCGACATTATTGGCTCACTGCTGCAGTGGTGTCACAGTAGCGCGGTACTGTGGGGGTTCCCAGACGGTCACAGCCGGTCACGGTGGGAAGCAATCGCCCTCCCCAATTTGCTTTCGATTCCCTGATTATTTTCCTTCCCCTACTCGCATTTCTTTGATCCTGCTTATCGAACCCGCGCCCTGACTTCCATTCCATTATCACCTGGGTCGTCGCGGCTCTCTGCCTGAGCGTTCCTGTCCATCACCCGCTCATCTCAACCCGCGGTGTTTGTCTCTGTGCGCCCTTCCTTGTGGTGCCGTGTTTGCTTTCGCGACCTACCTCGCCTGGAGAGCGCCGACAGACGCGCCTGCAACGTGGCCGCCGTTTTGGCGACGCATCTTCCTTCATCACCAACCGTCAACTGATACCCCTCGCTTCTTCATTGACCCAGCTCGCGAGCCTGATCATTCATCATGGTGCGCTCACTGCCGAAGAAAAACAACCCTCTCATCCTTGCGGACGTGGCTCCTGCTTGTAAGTTGTGATTCCAGCTAGCGCCCGAGCTCAGACTCGATCGTGGCATGCCGATATCTCCACCAAAGCGTGCGCCAGGCTAACCTGTCTCCTCCTATCTCCGCGACATCAGACGATGAACTTCTTTCGCGCCGTCGTCTGGGAAAGACCAACCTCGCCGTGAAACCCACCCAGGTTGGCACGTCAAATGCGACAAAGCCTGAAAACCTCGGCCCCTTCGAGTATGCACACTTGCGCGCGCCGCTGCCTAGAGACCTCAAGGGCTCCGAGATTTTCCCCTCACACTCGCCTCAACAACATCCCGAAACCTACTTTTTGATGGTAAGGATGGCTGATGACGAACAAAATGTGATGTCATAGAATGGTGGTTGACCTGTCGCTATAGAGACGTAGCAAAGATGGATTCGTCAGTGCTACCGGAATGTTCAAGATTGCCTTCCCTTGGGCAAAGCTCGATGAAGAACGGTCTGAGCGGGAGTATCTGAAGACCCGGACGGAGACTAGTGAAGATGAGATCGCCGGCAATGTTTGGATCTCGCCTCTGCTCGGTAAGCGTCACAATTCCGCAGATATGAATGTTGCTCTGATGACTTTTAGCCCTTGAGCTAGCAAAGGAGTATCAAATGTACGATTGGGTTAGGGCCCTTCTCGATCCTACCGACATCGTTCAAAGTCCCTCGTCCGCGAAGAAGCAAATTACCCCTCCCCCTCGGTTTGATTTGCCGCCGATCGAAGCCCCGGCCATTCTCACTGCACCACGTCTCCGTAGGGGACGGTCCGCTTCTCCAAGCAAGAAGTCGACCTCCCCACGTAAGCCCCGCCAGACTCGCGCCATGAAAGAGGCCAACGCTGCGGCGACCAGTGCTGCCAACGCCAGCCTCCAGTCTTCTTTGGACTTGACGGCTTCCACCGTGGAGTCGGAATCGGTCACCGGCACCGTTCATCAGAGTGTGGAGGTGGACGGCGACGAGAAGCCCGCTCCTACCCCGAAGAAACCGGCATCAGCATCCAAGGCGAAGAGGACGGCTGCTCGGGTGGAAGAGCCCGAGGAGAAGGAACCTGAGAAGGTGAAGGTCGATGTTGAGACCAATGCGGAAGCTGTTGACGAGGCCAAAACCACCCAAACCACCGTTTCCGTTGAGATGCCTATCAGCCTTCCTGAGGCACCGTCTGCTGCCGATACTGAGCAGATGATTGCCAAGGCGAAAGAAATGGTAGAAGAAGCGGTCAAGCTTCAGACCGAGACGGCAGAGCCATCGTCGGCCAAGGCAGCCCAGAAGCGCAAGACGGAAGTGCTCAGCGAAGATGACGAGGAAGAAGATGAAGAAGCCAAGACCCTCCGGGTGAAGAGGGCCAAGGTTCTGGAGGAGAAGCTGAAGCAGGAGCGTGTGCGGAACCGTGCTCTTGTTGGTGTTACAGCTGCCTTTGCGCTCGCGTAAGTCTTGCATGCCAAATGCTAAATCTCCCGTGCACATTGCTAACCTGCCTTGCAGAGCCTCTATTCCGTATTTCTTCTAGACACCCTAACTACTGGCCTGGAAGCAAATTGTTGTGATTGTGCGCCGTGTCGGCCTACTTACGTCCAGCTCACGTCTGGACAAATCCGCCATCGATTCCCCCGCCCCTTTGGAAAATCTCCCCCTTATTCCCCGACTGCTATGGTTTTGAACGATGCTTAATGGAGAAGCAGCCGAAGCTGTTCCTTATCCGTTCACAGTTTGCCCCTACTCTGGAATCCATCCGAGTTCAGGCTTTGGCCAATCCACCCGAGCGCATCACGATCCCTAAGTCCCAATTGAAGTGATTCTTGATGTACCGTATTGGCCGCGAATATTTCTTTACTAATGATGCCATTTGGGTGCGAGTGATGTGGTTCGCACGGGGGATTGGCCGGTGAGGTCCTGGCGATCGAGGAAAGCCTTGGGTTCGTTTCGTTCATTATCTATGCCGTTTCTTATTATCTCCTGGATACCTGATATACGCCTCTATAATGTGGTTTTTTTACTTTTTTCAATTTTCTGTTCTACACCATTTGGACCGGGGCTGCACCCTGGAGTCGTGATGCAATCGGGATGGTTTGACTGGATTGTGTTCGGAGTTATGTCATTGTTAGGTAGATTTGCAGATGATGAATATGCAGTAACTATGAATTGATCATTACCCTCGTAGATCTGTTGCATAAACAAAAAAAGTATAATATAGATCAATTAACAGTCAGATGGGCGTGCTGCGAACGCGAACCAGTCGGGTCGGTTCCGTCCTGCAAACAGGCTAAACATCGTCATTCTCTCCGCCTGTTCGGAGCTTCACCAGAACTCCAGTCCGCAGACGACTTTCCAGATAACAATTCCAATTATCCAGACGATGCCATGTCGCTCCCCGGTCTCGATCTAACACAACCCTCCGCGGACCGCGAGTTCGCCCCAGCCCCGCCCTCTCAGATCAGCCTTCCCAAAGGCTCAGAGTGGCGGTTCGAAGTCGCCTTTGGCACGACCGTCCGCGTAAAGGTGAGCTGCCGTGAACCTCAGCACATTACCCATCCCTCACGAATCACAGAAAAAAAAAAAAAAAAAAAAAAGACAGTTGACTGACATATCTACCACCTGGAGAACTAGCTCTTAGCCGGAACCGCCGAACTCTTTGGCACCGAACTAGCCCCCTCGCAAACCTACACCTTCTCCGGCACGAAAGCAGCAATCTACACCTGGCATGGATGCACACTAGAAGTAAGCGCCGGAGAGGCCATCACAGGTCTGGACAGCCTCGCCCCGGGAGGCACGAATGGAACAACGGCGCGCGGACTCGGCGCGGGCGGCTGCCAGAGCGAGTACGTGGCGGAGGAAACACCGATGGTTGAATACGCGAACGTGCATTTTGCGCTGGAGACACTACGACAGGAGGCCAAAGCGACGGGGAAAGATGGCCCGCGGGTACTGATTCTCGGTCCTGAGGATGCGGGCAAGACAAGTCTGTCGAAGATCCTGACGGCGTATGCGACTAAGGTGGGCCGGCAGCCGCTGGTGGTTAATTTGGATCCTACGGAGGGCATGCTAAGTGTTCCGGGGACGTTGACGGCTACGGCGTTCCGGACGATGATTGATGTTGAGGAAGGATGGGGGAGTAGTCCCATGTCCGGGCCGAGTGCGGTGCCGGTGAAGTTGCCCTTGGTGTATTTCTATCCGATGCAGAACCCGTTGGAGGCCGATGGCTCGGTGTATAAGGCTATTGTGTCGAGGTTGGCGCTGTCGGTGACGGGGAGGATGGCGGAGGATGAGGATGCAAGGGAGACGGGAATTATTGTGGATACGCCGGGAATTTTGAGTCAGAGTAAGGCTGGGAATGTCGAGATGATTAATCATATTGTGACGGAGTTTGCGAGTGAGTTTTTACTTGATCCTGGTTGGGGGGTTGTATGCGCTGACGGGGTTATGGCACAGTTACGACGATCTTGGTCATTGGTTCCGAGCGACTGTACAGCATTATGATGAAGAACTTTGATAACAAGCCCACGGCTAGTGCGTCTGCAGCGGCGTCGGATGAGCGCATTTCGGTGGTTAAGTTGTCCAAGTCTGGGGGTTGTTTTGATCGCGATGCGGCGTTCATGAAGGCTGTCAGCGAGTCGCAGATCCGGACATACTTCTTCGGCAACCCAATTCCTTCGACGGCATCGGCAGCGCTGTCGCTGTCTGCGTCGTCAACGACGAATGTTACGTTGTCGCCGCATGCGCAGCAGCTGGACTTCAACGCTTTAGCGGTCTACAACTACACCATAGCGTCAGCAGAGGAGGACGAAGACGAATATGACCCGTCGCAGCTGGGTACCGGCGATGCCTTCCTCCCAGGTGGAAGCAACGACGTGGACCTGGGTCAGACTCCGCAAGAAGAGGCTCCGGTCGCACCGACGCTGCCTGGGATCGCTGGACCGGTGAAGGAGACGGTGACGCCGGCGGGGTCGTCCAACGTGCCACTGAAGAAGGTACTGCCTCCTGCGCCGACAGCGCTGGCCAATTCGCTGCTGGCCATCACACATGCAAGCTCGACGGCCAGCCCGGCGGATGTGCGCGATGCCAGTATCATGGGCTTCTTGTACGTGGCGGACGTGGACGCGGAGAAGGGCAAGATCCGAGTGCTGGCGCCGGTTGGAGGTCGCGTGCCACCGCGGGCGATTGTATGGGGGAAGAAATGGCCTGGGGAGGTGGTGGGATTGGTGGGATAGTTGATACCAGAAGTTATTAGTAACTAGATGAGCGCTACATATCAAAGATATTCATGTCAAATTCAAACTATTTACATCTTCTAGAAAAAGTACATTGACTCCAGCAAGGTCTAGATCCCTTACATACATACCAGACTTGCTCCAGCGGGATCGCCGCATACCTCCGCTCCGCCTCCTGACATTTCCCCAATTTCAACCTCAACAACACCACATACTACTTTTAACTCTCTTTGCAGTTCCTCCCACTGACACATATTCACCATGGCCTGACGCCAGCCACTCGTTACAACAGCCCTCCACCTCCCCCCCCCCACAAATACCACACAACAACAATCACAACCACCACCGCACCACCCAACCCAACCCATCTCATCCCATCTCCGCACACCTGCATCCTCACTACCAAACCACCAACTAAACACACACCCTCATCACCACCCCACCACATACCCACAAAAAGAACACAGAGAGATCAAGCAAAGAATGCCCCGCCTCCACCCAACAACCATCCTCCTATTCCCCCTCCGCGTCCTGACCATCCCATTCACAACCCTCATCGCGCGCATTCCCATCCTCCGCTCTCGACACCGCCGCACCCGCACCCTAACCATGCTCCTCCCTCTACTCGTCTTACTCCTCATCCTCCTAACCCTCCTGCCCCTATACATAATCTACCGGCCACCGCACGCCCTAATCCGCTCCCTGGCGAACAAATACCCAGATACATTGTGGGAGATACCCCTCCCCACCACCAAGGACACAAAAGGGAAAAGAACGGAAAAAGTAATCGCCCTAACCATCGACGACGCCCCCAGCACCTACACGCTCGACATCCTACACCTTCTCCAGCAACACGACGCGCGGGCGACATTCTTCCTCATCGGATCGCAGATCCCCGGCCGGGAGGGGATTCTACATACGCTCGTGAAGAGCGGGATGGAGCTGGGTAATCATGCGATGCACGATGAGCCGTCTGTTTCGATTGGGGAGGAGGTGCTGGAGAGGGAGATGTTGGAGGTGGATGGGGTGATTGACAGGGTTTATGAGCAATCTGGGGTGAAGCGGCCACGGTTTGAGGATGGGGCTGTGAAGAAGTGGTTCCGGCCTGGATCGGGGTTCTTTAATGGGTGGATGAGGGGGCTTGTGCAGAGACTCGGGTATAAGATTGTGTTGGGGAGTGTGTATCCGCATGATGCGCAGATCGGGTGGGCGGGGGTGAATGCGTGGCATGTGAGGAGTATGGTTAGGGAGGGGAGTATTGTTGTGATGCATGATCGGAGGAGTTGGACGGTGGAGGGGTTGAGAAGGGTGTTGCCGGTGTTGAAAGAGAGGGGGTATAGGGTTGTTAGTTTGGGGGAGGCGATGGAGATTGCTAATGCTGCATCTACTGACGGAGGAAAGGAGGATGATTGATGGACTGAATTGGATATCAGGTGTACAGGCATCATCAACACTAACATACAGGCGGGTTCCTGACAAAAACAAACAAATACATGGTATCGAACTACTCGTTTCGCTTCCACTCCTCCACGTTGCGCCGCATCTCTCCCTCCACGTCGTATCCCCGACTCGCGTCTTCCAGCAATTCCTCCTCCCGGTCCCGGTAGCGTTGCTCTGCGTCGCGCCGTCGCAGCGCCACCTGCTTCAGGTACATCAGGTCGTTCGATTGCACCGCCTCTGCGAACTTGGCGCGCATGCGCGGCGAGTACAGCTGACAGCTTGCTTCGCGGCACCGAGACGGTCCGTCGCCAGGAAGCAGTCGCATTGACGTCGAGAACTTGCGCGCAATGGGCTGTTTGGCCCGGACCAACGGCCACACCACGTCATCGTAGCAGTCCTCGCACACCGTCAGCTCTGGCAGTTGTGGCATGTAGTGCCACGTGCTGAGGATCCGTCGGTCCCGCCGACAGTCCCGCAGCACTACCTTGCGTCGAGCGTACGAGAGGAACTCAGTCACATTAGGGCGCAGCATATTTTCCTGGTCGGCGCGGTTGGCCGCTATATCCAGGTAGTCGATGTACCGGACAAACCGTGGGCTGTCTGTCAAGAAGTCGCAGGCTCGTTCTTGTTTGGTGGAGCTCCGCTTGAAGGTGTCCCGGTGCTGCGGCATCAGAACCCGTAGGTTCCGCACGCAGGCGGAGCACACATTGAACTGCGGGAGGTACATGTTCGTTTCCGGGTCCACAATCCGGTACCAGTGCTGCTCGGTGATGATGCGTCCCGGACACGGCTTGATGCTGAGGGGTGGCCGCGTGATTTGGTGCAGCAGTTCGAGGTGGTCTAGCTGCTTCTTGAGTGTCTGCATCCATGCCAGTCGGGTCCAGGGCTCGCTCATGGAGCAGCGAATTTTCTCTCCACGGGACCGGGGACTGGCTAAGACGAAGTGGTCTCGGAACTCCGACTTGCGCATTTGCTTCATGCACGACGGGCAGATATTCAAATGAGGTAGTCCCTTGACCGTGTGCCAGTCCTGGTATCCGGCGATGGGAGTCGATCTAGGGCAGGGCGGGAGGAAAAACGGCCGTTTGGGCGAAGTTTGACGGACAGCATCCTGCGATGAACTTCGATGGCGGACAGCGTCCTGTGATGAGCTCCGTCGGCGTGGTAGTGGTGGTGGCTCAGGAATGTCTTCGGGGGTCCGTGGGAGCGACGAGGACCTTTGCGGCACGTCATCTAGGAAAGATACGGCCCGTCGAGCTGGCAGCTGGGCCGTTGACTTAGCGTCGTTGCTTGAGACTGATCGACCTGCTGGCTTACTGGCCAATCCCGGACGTGGTGGGAGCTGTGGTGCCGGAGCTGCGGCTGAGGAGGACGCTTCATGTCCATCCACACGGTGGTCACTAGTTGGCTCCTTTGGCGTCGACGTGGACCTAGGACGGGTCTTTGGAGCGGTGCTCTTAGGCGCTGCAGTGGCTGCAGGGGTTATGGATGGCTCCGCGGCACGTCCCACCGGGACACTGGGTTGATCAGTAGACGGAGGACTAGGCGTCTTCGGCGCATCGCCTGAGCCCTCCTTGGCACGAAGCTCTTGTCTCTGACGTATCTTCTCTTCCAGCCTTTCTGCCACGGTGAGTCCAGTGGGCGACTTTTTGTCCGTTTGAGGCGCGGCAGATTTGTCCACGGTTTCAGGCTTGGCCTTGGACTTGACTGTAGCCGAGTCGGATTGGTAGCCGGATTTAGTGGTGAGGGCGTCGGCGGAGCGGCCATGTTTCACACTCCCGAATCGTCTGGGCAACGATGGAGTAGACTTGCTTTGTGTGACAGCAGGGGTGCGTATGTTCGAAGCCCTCGAGGCATCCCGGGAACTCTGGGCTGTATCCTTCTTAGACGGGCTGTCTCTCTGGGCTCTAGTATCCGCTCTGGGGCGGCCTCGTGTCGTAGAGCCCTGCTCATTATCAGCTGGTGTCTTGGATGGATCCTGGGATTGCTCTCGAGTTGCAAGTGGCGCGGACAACGAGACTGCCTGGTCATCCCCGACAAGGTAAAGCATCGGGTCCTGTTTCTCATCCACCGGGGTTGGCGGCCCTACATTGTCCTCGGAGCTGCTGTCACGGCTGAAGTCCTCATAGATGACGGTCGTCTCCTCATATGAAGAGTAAGAAAAAACATCCACAAGGACTGGGTATTGGTCGACAGATCCGCGGGAGCAAACACCTTCGAGTCCGGGCATTTCTCTGATTTGGGACAATCCGTGTAATTCGCGGGAGAGGGAAACAACTTCGTCTTCCACACATGGCGAAGGCGGCCAGTGGGTCTTCTTGCGCCAGCGCAAGCTCATCTTGGAGGTAGAATACATTGGTAATAGAAACAGAAGAACAAAGAACTTTTAGCAAAGAAAAGCAAAGCTCCAACGGGGAAGTATCGGTCCTGGGGGCTATCCTGCGGTGGTACGGTGGATCAGAAATACTTTCCGGGCAGTTGGCATCATATATCCGTCGAGCATCGGACTCACTCGAGAAAGGGTCTCGAAATAATGAGCAAGAAAAATAGCAGACACACACAAGGGCGTTCGGCAAACAGCAATTGGCACGGGAGTGATCCAAATGGAACAGAAAACAGTCAATCAACTCGCAGATGAGACAGTCAGATGGCCTGGGGGTCCTTTGCGAGCGGCTAGAATTAAGTATTAAGCGACAGAGAGGTTAGTTTCTGATGTACACACCCCAGGAATTGGGGGAGTTGCGAAGAGATTTCTCGAGAGGCTATATAAAGTAGACAGACCCCAATGGGAAACCTGGTCGGGCAGCGCCTCTCCGGGGATGGTGGCCCTATCAGGGCCTGGGCTCAGACATTGGGCGTTAACAGGCAACGAATCAATCCCGCTAGCCCTGAAACATGGCGATCGTGGCCAGACGTCAAGCGTTGGGAACGAATGGATCCCCTTGAGCCATGTCAACAAGGAGTCGCTCATGAAACCATCCCATCTCTATGCAGGTGAGGTCAAGTGTGGTCTGTCAGACTGGGACAACCTGTGCTGGCACATTCATTCATTCGCCATCCCCGCTTTCCGTCGACCGATTAGGTACGCTGATGGGCGAAAGAGATTTTAGTCTGCGGGAAAGGCGCCACTTTCGAGTATTGGCGTGGATAGCTGTTGGTCTAGTATACAGCAGGCACAGCAGGTCGTGAGCCTGACACGCTTTTTGGCAAAGCCACACAGCCTCCGCTCAAGGGATACCGGGCAACTCGGCACATTGGGCGTCATCAGCTACTGGTGCCACCTTTTGGGATGAGCTGCATACCCCCTGGCCGATGATGCTGGGAAGATCAGTGGCTTCCAATGATATACGATTCATTGTTGGAAGGGACACTGCGATGACATCAGTGGGAAAGACGGTGAAAGAGAGCAAACGGTGGCAATATGCATAGCGAGGCGGTGACACAGGGGGGCTGAGTTGTCTGGCTGAACTGGATAATGCATATTGAAGTTGTCCGCGGAAGGGATGAAGAGGATGAAGGCCCAATGGATGAAGGATGACAACAATCCAAAATGCTTCTAGAGAAGCACGAGAGTATATCCCGATCGGGATGTTATGCATTGGAGGGGAAAATGACATTATGCAATTAATGACTCAGCTGTGCACGGCACGGTCCGTCGGCAGGAAGCCGACATTAGTCAGCTATATTCCCGACGGTTCGGACTTGCAGCCGATGGCGTCACTCCGTCGGATGAAGAGGTGGCCATTCTATGACTCTGGAAATATCACCAGAGCGTAGGAAGAGAGTCGCTGAAGAGCTGAAACGGCCAATATCAAAAATCATAGTAGGCAAACAGCGATCAAAAAGACTGCTTCATATCACGGTGATACAGTGCGGAGGCGTCGGACATTCTCACCCAGTATCCGCAAGCGCAACGCAGAATAATGAAGAACTGCGGGGAAGAAGCGCAGAAAATCAAGCTTCAAATGACGGGAATCGACTGCCTCATGTTGCGGTCCACTTTCGGCAAAAACCAACCAGCAAGACCGTCCAGCTCCGTAAATCGTAGCCGGGGAGAACTTCCACCTCTCCACACCCGATTATCCGGATATACTTAACCCACCTGCTGTCCCACCCCTCATTGAACACCTAGAAATACCCCCCATCATCCAATGCCCCTCCATCGCGTCTTCCCTCGTCTTATCCGATCCTCTATCCCATCCATTTCTACTACTACCTCAACCCTGTCTCCCCCAGCGATTCAACGACTCTCCGCAACCCACGCACACCTACACCTCCACCCCACCATCGCATCTCCCATCCGCAACCTCATCACCATGTCCGTCCCCCAGACCATGAAGGCCGTCTTAGTCGAGAAGCTCGGTGGCCCCGAGGTCCTCGAGTTCAAGCCCAACCACCCCGTCCCCACGCCCAAGGAAGGCCAAGTCCTCGTGAAGAACAACATCTCCGGCATCAACTACATCGACACGTATTTCCGCACAGGCCTCTACCCCTCCGCAAAGCCCGAGATTCTCGGTCGCGAGGGTGCCGGTACCATTGTCGCTCTAGGCGACGGCCCCAACCCCTACAACTTCCAGGTTGGAGATCGGGTGGCCTGGCTCAGCACTGGCGGATATGCCGAGTACACGGCGGTGCCGATGGCCAAGACCGTCAAGATCCCCGATGGAATCACAGATGAGAACCTGATGGCATCATTTCTAAGTGGATTGACGGTCATCACGTTGGTGAAGGAGACGTATCCCGTGCAGAAGGATGAGTGGGTGTTGGTGCATGCTGCGGCTGGCGGGGCGGGAACCCTGATGACGCAGGTGCTGAAGTCCATTGGTGCTAAGGTCATCGGAACGGCTGGTGGCCCTGAGAAGTGCCAGCTGGCGAAGAGCCTGGGTGCTGATGTGGTGATCGATTACCGCAGTGAGGAGGGCAAGGATTGGGTGAAGCAGGTGAAGGAGATTACGGGTGGAAAGGGAGTTGATGTTGTCTTTGACTCGGTTGGTAAGGATACTTGGGAGGGAAGCTTGGAGAGCGTTAAGCGCAAGGGTACTATTGTTTGGTTTGGAAATGCTAGTGGCCCAGTGCCGCCTTTGCCGTTGCAGTAAGTTTTTCCTTATTCTTTTTTACTCTTTGTTTGTGGTGTGAGGTGCGATGCTGATCGGTTGGTCGTATAGGAAACTCTCCCCCAAGTGTGTCAAGGTCGCTCGGCCTCAGCTCTTCGGCTACATTGAAACCCGTGAGGAGTTCGAGTTCTACGTCAATGAGTTGTTCTCGCTTCTCCTGTCTAACAACCTCAAGGCCAAGGTCCACAAGGTTTACCCCTTGGAGGAGGTTGCTCAGGCTCACACCGATCTGGAGGGTAGAAAGACCACTGGCAAGTCGATGCTGAAGCCCTGAGCTGGTAGCACATGCTATGAGTACTTGTTTCAATAGAATGTTTGTTTCGACTATCTAGAAATGAAGATGACTACAAAAAGAATCCGTGATAGTAGCTGTTAAAATCCTAGGAATCGAGTCACGGCACAGGTCGTCTCTGGAGATGCTCACAGAGTAACAGACGAGTCATCCTCCCCATCGCTCTCTGCTTTGCTCTCTGCTTTGGCTAGATCCCTCGGCTCCTTCCATCCTAGCATCAAGTCATTCACGAGAGGGGTGTAATTGGAGCCATACGTCCTATACGCATACTCGAAATAATGGAATCCACAATTCAGCTCCCATACCGGAGCGATTACTTTCATTCCCGGGTAGCAGTACTGAAGTAGATTGCCCTCCATGAAGAGTTCAAAGTTCCTTTCTGGCTGTGCCACTCGCTCCTCCGGGCTGCGATCATAATCAGGCATACCTGGATCTCGGTAAGTCCTTGCTAGCAGCTTTCCGACGGGGACAAGATCCGGGGCGTGCGTCTGGTAGAACTCGCGGACGACTTCGCCCGGAGGGTGAACAGCGGTAATCTCAAACCCATCAATATCCTCGATACGCACTGCGCACAGCGTTTTATTCTCGGTCAGTTCCTGGAAGCGGAGGGCATGGCGATTCTCGCCCGCACCGGCCAGGGCAAACTTGACGATTTTGCGGGCTATCTCAGTGGTCAGGCGAGGCGCATCATCCTTGGAGTTTCTCCACTGATTGCCCTCCGTATATGTGTCATGCAGCTCTCCACCGAAAAGCAAGGAACAGCACGAGTTGAAGTCACCAGGGCCTTTGGCCATGAGTTGCTGGTTGTTCCACAGCTCCCTTGTAGCTATATCGCACGACGTCCTGGCCTGGTCGATGTTATCGTTGTACTCCGAGCATACATCATGATAGAGGAGGTAGGATAGAAAGTTCCGAATGGTGACTGTCGCTAGCTTAATCATATCTTTGGTGTCGGGGTTAAAATAGTATGGAAAGAAGGAAGTCCTATTGTGAGTTAGTCAAACGCAGTTTCACGGCGTGTGTAACTCCTACAGAAAGCCGCGAACCACTGCATCAAAATCAACAGCAAGGTTAGATTTGTCCTTGCCTACGCTGGTCATTGCTCGCGCTTGTAGGATCTGTTCGCTGTCCAGTTGCTGGAGGTCACGGCCATCCAAGCCCCCGAACATCCTCTGACCGACGTTCACCCCTCCATATGCCAGATATTTCAGGAAAACATCTCGTCTGTCTGACTCCAGACGACGATTCTTTTGGTAGCGTAAGAGAGCGTCCTCAATTCGGCTGGGACTGGTCAGTATGAGAGCCAGAACCATAAGGTGGCAAGACTTACTGGGTGAGAGGTCGCGAGCTTCACGCCAATGCCGGTCAGCGGGTGCTATACGTTGGAAGTTGGGAACATACACATTGTAGAGCTCCTTTTCAGCGCTAAATTCCTCGGGGGTAATGGGTGCGTCGACATAATACTCTTCGAAACCGGTAGGCTTGTTCTGTAGAATTCAGTCTGGCTGCAATTCTTCGCATTCGTAAGTAGTCTCACCTTTCCACGCTTACTCTTGGGGCGCGCCTTGCTCTTCTTCTTTTTCTTCTTAGCCTGGTCAATTTCAATGGGTAACTCCTCGAGTGACTGAGATTTAGGACTGTTGGGGGTCGAGTCTGGTTTATCTTCTGAGGTTTCTGGTAACGGGTCCGTCTGCTGAGTATCGTCGATAATTTTCGATGCAGCTGGGCGAAGAGGAAGTTCTTTGACAGTATCTGCTGGATCATGAGAGTCTGACATCGTGAGTACAGTAATGATGTTAGCAGACCACTGAGGTGAGGCGGAGAATAAGGGAACGCTCTTTAGGAGAGAATGAGGTGATGAAGGAAAGTGAGGGAAGACAAAATAGAGAGATAAATCTGGAGGGGTAATCTGGCTGTGTGGAAGATGGAACTCGGAAGTTGCACGGGGAACACCGTGAAACCTTGCACTCGAGATATTTGAAGAAGCGATTCATTGACCGTAGATGCTTCACAGCCGATGATGAAAGGATCGAACGTGATAGAAATACCCATAGTGAAACAAGTACGAGGGATTCACCTGTAGAGGGAATGGGACGAAGCCGGTACCTTCCATGCCAGTATCCTCATGCTGGTAGATGCCGTTCATACTAGTAAACTATGATGGTATCTCTTGAGAAGTGATAATAAGAGACGCTTTTATTGGACTACTACAGATCAAGATCATAGTGGAAATTCAGGCAGTCTACAGAACACTAGTATAGAGTTAGCTCAATATATGCCACATCAACCAGGCAACAAAAGGCAATCTCAGCCATGTGGCTTTAGGATGGTCTATTTCCACTACAGTGGGCTATTTTTGATCCTGTTTTGGCTTTGGCTACCCCCAGGCTATCATTAACGTCATTACCAAGATTAGTACGAAGGTAAATGTCGTATAAATTGACCAAGGTAAAGAAGACGCGTGGAAGGAGAGGATACAGTGTAACGGGGAAGACATCAAACGTTTATTCGGTGGTTGCTGGAGCAGAAGTGTTGCTGCCCGGTCAAGGAGTCGCATTGGATAGTTCCTACAATTGGTGAGATTTGGGCATTGGTGATGGAGAGGCGGAGATGACACTCATGAGCACCTTACTTGGGCAAGCTGTTTACCGTGCTAGCTATGAGATGACTCTGTTGCTGGTTGCTAACGAAGGTGATATGCATCAAAGCCGGGTGTGGGGAGGGGGCAGATGCCGGTTCGTTTGAAGTATGAACAGATCCATATGCTAACATCAAGCCACTGCATATTGCGAGCTTGTGCTGGAAGACGGAGGCTATTTACACCTTGATGGGGTATTGGGGAGGAGAGGGTCTGAAGTTGCCAGCAACGATGGTGGTATGTAAGAATGACTGGGCTCAACTCTCACTGCATCGGGCTTCGGGCTTTAACCCGGGATCATGGCTTCAGCCGCAAGATGTTGCTAGAGACCAACTCAGAAGACGATGAATGTTCCCCATTACTAGGAAATCCCTGCTACAAGTCAAGCTATCCAGCCTCATGCCAATATCAATGGCTCCCTCACCCCGCTACTCGAGTTGTAGCTAGCGCATGGAGCAGATGCCCGCGTCGGTAACTCCGAGAGATGTATTCTATTGCATCAACTGACTCGCGCATGTCAGAATTCCGAGTGTCTGAGCCCGCATCTGCTGAGCCGGCTGCTGAAACAGATAGGAGTCAATGACAAGGCAGCCATTGAGGCAGCTCGGCAGCTCAGTTAGCGGGGTGTAGATATGAATTCGCGCAATCACCAAGGCAATACCCCTTTGCATGAGATTACGCGAGGGGTGGTTCGCCCTGGGGTGGATGATTTTACAGGTCAGGTCGAGCCCCTACACGCCAAACGTCTGGCGCAAGCCCTTGCTGCTTTCATAGGTAAGTTGACAGAGGCGGGAGCCTCGATGATACAGATCAATACAGCAGGAAAAGCCCCAGCGCGGGTCCGGTTTGGGGTTGAGGAAAGTTGTGAGAAATTGCGGCGGGAGATGAAAGCGCAACAGTATGCAATGAGAGGGCCAGAGAGGGGAGAGGAAAGATGGTAACTTGAACATACAGCCTTGCCTGTGTAACCGGCTCTAATAAACTCAGCGCCAGTTGATTTTCCAGGGCCGCCTATGGATTACATATAGCTTTCGTACATAGACTCCTATCATTATGCAACATGCAGATGTCTCACCACCACCATGTAATGGAATTAGTCAAGGAAGAATGAGTGAATTAAACAATGACCCTCTATGGCACCATATCTAAGAAGGCTGAATGAAACCCGGCACCAGTATAAGCTGACGTGCTAGTCATTGGTAATCTGCGCAGCAAACTGCGGGTGAATTCCAGTGGAACGAGGAAGTATAGAGAAGCACCTCCAGCGAATGATCGCCGGCGTGCGGCATCATAGCGCCTGATATTATACTTCCTCTGGGATGCACTCGAGCCTTCTCGGGTGATTACATTTCTAATACCGCCATTTCTTGGAGTTCATATCGGGAATCCCTGGGCGGTGCAGGTTTGCTCGGGCCGCCTGGTGTTCCCTTGGAAGGTCAGTCCATTGTCCAGCGCGAGAGAGAGAGCGGATGCTTGCATGATTCTCCGCGGTTGCACGTCACTTCAGCTCGGAACAAAACCAGCAACTTCCACCACTTCTTCTCACCACCACCACCTCCTGTGGCTTGTCCCTCCTTTTTTCTGCCAACCCTTTGTTTGCCCTGTCGACCGAATTTACTCTCTCCTTTGTTTGATTGCCTCCTTTCCCTCCTTTTCTCTTCTCCGGCAGTTGCCTGAATATATATACTATATACATATTTTTTTTTCTCTCTTAACCCGACTCGTACTGCGCCCTTCCGCATCGCTTCCAGTTCTCATCGCCCGTGACTCAACTCATGCGGAATGCCGTCTAGAATCCAACGGTCTCTGTTGGACAGTGAATAATCCCCATAGTTCTTCGGAAACTCAAAACATGTCTTCGTCGCGGTCGGACAGCTTGAAAACCCAGAAACTGGACACCGACAGCTTTGTCGCTTTTGACCATGCCGCGGCTGGCCAGTAAGTTCTGCCTCTCCGCCCTTGCCGCAAGATACGAGATGCTTCATGGCCAGCACTCCCATTTTCTCCCCTTCCCCAACCAATGTTCGCTTGCTCGGTATACGAGGCATTAACAGGTAACTGACGCCGTGCCATCAAAACAGCGACGGTGTCCAATGCACTCTGTCCGGCTCCTTTATCGCAAAGCCCTGCACCCCCGAAGAAGTCGCCTTCTACGAGTCTAGCGCCCTCCACCCGGAATTTAGAGAGTTTTTTCCTACATACATAGGGACTTTAACTTCTGCCGACCAGCAGCAGTACTCTGCCATCGAAGCTGCTCAGCAGTCCGGTGCGATTGTTCTCCCCGGATCAGACTACTCCTCGACATCGGGCACTCCGAGCGCGACCGGAACAGCACAGCCCAGCGCGGCAGCCTCGGGATCGACGAGTACCGCGCAGGATCTCCCATGGGTTCCTTCGAATGGAAAAAAGCTGGAGACAGGAATATCTATTGTTCTGGAAAACGTGGCTTCTGGATTCAAGCGGCCGAATGTGTTGGACGTGAAGCTGGGCGCAAGGCTATGGGCTGATGATGCGCCCCCTCAGAAGCGAGCGAAGCTAGATGCTGTATCCCAAGAAACGACAAGCTCGAAACTGGGGTTCCGGATTGCCGGGATGAAGGTCTGGACAGGCGTGAGTGGAGAAAGCGACGAAGGAAGTAAGACCGATCCATATGCTACGAAATACGAAGGTTCTGAAGGTGCGCGGGGCGAGGTCATTGAAAAAGACGGATATAAGCGCTATGACAAGTGGTATGGACGGTCTCTCAATGAGGACACTGTTATAGAAGGGTTTCAAAAATTCCTCGCTGGGGCTAAAGCTGGGGCCGTTGACCGTTCCCAATTGGTCGCCCAGAGATTGGCGGACGAACTGAAGAAGGTACAGCATGTGTTGGAGTCAGAGGAAAGCCGGATGTATTCTTCAAGTGTTTTGATTGTATACGAGGGAGATCCAGAAGCGATGGAACATGCGCTTGCAGAGGAACAGAAGCCCCGGCCTGAACGGGGTGAGTCCGAGGACGAAGAAGAAGAGGAAGAGGAAGACATGGAATTCCACCTTCAGCAGGGCGGGTCAATCCAGGTGGTTGATATACCGGTCGGTCAGGGAACCAAATCCCACCAAGCAATCAATATCAATATCGACCCCGAGATAGCAGAAATGGCTGAGTTGGGAGACCTGGGAGATCTAGAAGACGATGAGGATGAGGATCCTCCAAAGGTGCATGACCTTCGCCTGATCGATTTTGCCCACGCCAGTTGGACACCAGGTCAAGGGCCGGACGAGAATGTGCTGAAAGGGATCCGGAGCTTGATCAAAATCCTGACCGGACTTGCCGGCGAGTAAGTGTACGATATGCAGGCCAAGCATCCGAAAGTCGCTGGCGATTTGGATGATGCGACATGAAGCAATTTGGTGTTAGCGAATATACAAATGTACATCAACTATTGATATTGAGTATTCTTGAGGCATAATTAGACTCGCAGCATAGGACTTGTGTGCCGGGCTGAGTGGTGTAAAGATTAGTGCGTAAGTTTAGGTTAATAATGTCAAAGACAGACGCATTATTCATCCAACCAAGCATGTTAGCTCAGGGGAAGAGCGCCGGGCTCATAACCCGGAGGTCCCTGGATCGAAACCAGGACATGCTATCTGATTCTTTTTTTCTTTTTTTACATCTCTTCTCTCTCGCCAAGACAGCTCAATAGCACACATAATTCTATATGCAGGGTTTCTATTCATTGGTGTTTTATGGGTTAGGGTCTGCTCCTGTGCAGACTCTAGGCTTTCCCCTCGAAGATATAGATTTGACTCTGTCGACTCTTGGGAACTCTATACTAGCAAGATAACTTACATCCTGACGTTGAGGAAAATCCCTCTGTTCCAGGGAATTTTTGAATAATTACTCAAGCGCAATGAATGTATATATCATGGTGTAGCATTTTGCAGTTACCTTATATAGAAAGGTATATGTTCTATATTCTAGTATTCCCAGTGTTAGACCGCGAAGATCTCACGAAATGCCAGACAACGACAACCCAGAGACTCTTGCTAGATCATCGTAGTATAAGCAGATCAGCCTTGCCATAGGCAAGTCACGAGGCTATCAGACCCTGTTTATCGAAGGATTCCCTCACATGCCTTCTCAGCCCACACCGGGGCGAACGAACGGTTGGACTTACATCACGGAAAGGAACCATGCCAATATCAAGATTGCCATAAAGTGCTCAAGAAGAGTGACTGTAGCAGAGCGGTCCTTCAAGTGGTAACTCAGCATGAGGCTGTCTTGGCAAGAAGTTGCTACTTGTGCAGGGTTATCTATACGAGGTCTCCACTGATACGTGATAGCACATGCCTACATCACTTGCCAGTGTTGCGGATGAGCTGGCAATCTTCCAATAGTGAGGGGACCACATGATCATATGAAATGACAGAAACTTGGAACATATTCCGATGGAGGAATGTTTTCTTTTTATCTATGCATCCAGTAGTTCTTCTTTCTCCACATAGAATATGTATACCGACCTGTTACCGCTACTGGAATTTCACCATAACTTATATGCAAACACCCCACCAAGAAGAAACCATAGTCTACCATAGAAGACACAAACAGCAAATATGAGTTAGATGTCCGGGGGAGGGGGGGAACACATCCGCTTGTAGCCTTATACCAGGAACATCCGATATCACGTGAAGAGCCGCACTTTGAAACTTTAGAAACAATCACACATTCATCCATGTATATCCTCATTCATAATAATAAAGACACAGCTCATTTCAACAAACCCAGCATGTTAGCTCAGGGGAAGAGCGCCGGGCTCATAACCCGGAGGTCCCTGGATCGAAACCAGGACATGCTATCTGAATGATTCATTTTTTTCTTTTTGTCTCATGCAGAGTGGATTCGCGATGTCATGTACGGAGTAGAAATGGATACTACCGCATTTGCTCTTTACCTTTCCACCAGTTCACATCCATATTTTTCTTACGATGCATATAAGGTTATGTATCAATTTAATAAATATGTTTATATGCTTAAGATACAAAGAATCCAAAAACCATGAAGACCTTGTCACTCTATAGAATGTCAATAACTTCATAGCCAAGTCCCCATAGCAAGAAGAAAATCTTACATAATCCGCCCTCCGCTCCATCTCAAACCCATCCCAATCGACCATCGCAAACCCGCCGGTCCGCATCTCGCCCATCAGCCAAAGCCCAACACCACAAAAACCAAAATGTTTCCCACGCGAGCTCTCCTCTCCCGCTCGGTCTGGAAGGGTGAGAATACACCCCTCGAAGTCCCTATTTCAAATCACTGGAAGAAATCGAACCCATCTAACCTGCATACCTACAGGCCCGAACATCGTCCCGTACGTCGTCGCATTTATTCCCTTTCCTTTCCTACCTTTCACGAAGGGCACATCACTACTCAATCCCTATACAATATCGCCACATATCAATTGCAACCGCTACTCGACACATTCTCTACTGGAAATTGGAAATGAAATACTAATAAAAGCTATGATAGTCTCCCTCTCCCCCGCAAACTCCCCGCTCCGCCAGGAACACCACCGATCAAGACGCAGAAGCGCGGCGCCACGATCCTGCCTAACTTCGTGGGATTGAAGTTCCAGGTCCACAATGGGAAGATTTATCAGGATGTTGTGATCACGGAGGAGATGGTCGGCAGGAAGTTGGGGGAGTTTGTTGCGTGAGTTTTTTCCCTTTCCAACTCTCTTCTTTTTTCTTTTCTTTTCGCCCAGGGGGTTTGGAGTGTGATAAAGGAAATGTGGTGAACTTGGAGGACTTGAAGGTTGAAAGGAAAGAGGGAAAGATTTGGTGGAATGGGATATTGATTGGTGTATGATGATGGACTTCTGCTAACTGATTGGTTTTGGTAGGACTCGGAAGAGGTTCACGTATAAGCAGTCGAAGAACAAATGATTGCTTTTCGGGTTGTGTGTTTGTCTGGCTGGCTGGCTGGGTGGTCTGTTTTATTCTATATGCAGTGCAGCGGGTGTCTCTACTGAGTCCCTTCTGCGCGTAGCTGAATTGTCAGCATAAGAGGAATAGCAGGCAGGCAGACAGACAAGGCAGATGGGCACACAGGTGGTGATTTCATATTGCATGGCTAGGTTCTTTTCTTATATCTCGGGCGTTATATCCAGTTCCTTACTGCTATTCTTCCACCAATGTATATCTACGTGTTGCATGTAAACTACTAGACGGACCATAAAATCAACAGGTCAAAGGACTTCTCAACACAGAACATCAAGTCGCTTCTATTATTCTCTTAGTTATTGTCTTCCTTTTTTTTTTGCGTGTGCCGCCCATCCTACCATATCGTATCTGATAACTCCGCCCTGAACGCCTTTTGTATATTTCAAACTCGGCCCACATGCAGGATATCGTTCGGCCGTTGCCCAGTATTTTACGCCAGCAAGCAAAGGAGAAAGAAAAAGTAAACTAAAACAGCACATCCCATCCCGTCCCCGATCTACCCATATCCCCATGCCCATGCCCATAAACATTCAGCATGTTTGCAACGAACAACCAACCCCCCAAGCATACCCAAGGTGGAAAAGGGAAGAAAATCACCGATAAAACTCCCCCCTCTTAACACTGACACCATACTCCGACACCGCCATTCCCAAATCCTCCATCGTAAGCACCGTCCGTCCCTGTCCGGAACCTCCAGAACCGCCACCTCCAAACCCGGGTCTCTGGATTCCGAGATGGGTGCCCGCTTTGCCCTTTCCTGCATCGCCGCCTGAGACTCCGGTCGCAGCACCGGCGGACCCCACACCCGCAGCGCCGGCGGGCATGTTCAAGCCTGAGGCGGCGTTCAAACTGCCCATGGGGTTACTGGCGGAGGAGCTGTTGGAGGCGCGAATGCGCGCATACTGGTACGAGTCGGCGGCGATGTCGGCGATAAATTTCTGGGTTGCGAGAGCGAGAAGACGGGCGAGGTGAGGCGGTGTTTGGTTGGGGCCGTTACCCGGAGGTGGAAGACCGGCAAGAGTGAGATAGTGGGCTGTGACGGCGTCGGGGATCTAAAGATATCCGTGTTAGAAAGACATGGAATAGAAGTATGGGGTGGAAGTAATTGAGGGTGGTAGTGGAGAGAAAAAGTGGCATAAGATGGAATCCAGCTGGAGAGGGCAAGGAATCTTACAATCGGCGCATATTCGTCCATCTTGCCCATGAACTCCCGCAAGCTGGTTTCTTTCTTGGCAGGTGCTGCGGCGGCCGCCAGAGCATCCACGGAGGTGGGCGCGGGGATGGAGTTTCCGGCGGCGGCGGCGGCGTCATCGCCAGCGGGATTCTGGTTCGGCATGTTGGCGGTGTTGTTTGTGTTTAGGTCGACGTCTTGTTCGATAGACGCATCCAGGGTGTTGTCAGCGGTATCTGGTTCTTGTTTGGGGACGACAGTCGCGGAGGAGGAATCTTGCGATGCTGGAGGAGCTGGAGCCGGAGCCGAGGCGGAAGCAGGGGCAGCAGCTGGAGGGGGAGGTTGCGAAGCCGATGAGTCGGCCATGGTGGTAGTGTTAATAGTGAATGAAGGTGAGTGGTGGTAGTGGTGACTGGTGGTTGGTGGCTGGCGAGCAAGGGAGGGCCGGCGAGAACTAGTCCAATAGTGAATGAAGGAGCGCGTCGGCGGTCAGACAATGAGCCGGGATGGGGGTGTTGCGCTGGTTCTGAGTTACCAGCACAAGGGAATAAGCTGCAGGGGGGGTTGTGGGAGGAAGACGAAGAATGAATGTGACTTGGGAAGATGGGATGGCGGAGAGTCGACTGGCTGGGTCGCGCTGCCGGAGCGGAGAGCCATTCGTCTCCCTCCCTCTCTCTGTCTCTCTCTTGTCTGCGGTCGGCCCGATTCTGCTGCTATAGTAGTGTTTCTTTCTGGCTAAATCTACAACAATCTCTGCTTGATAATGGCCAAATAGTGAATTCATAAAGTACAGTCTTGCATTAGATCCCCAATGCTGCCTCGCAATTACGAAGATGAATAATGTTGGTACACAGCCCCAACTCTACATGGCCGTTCGTCTCCCCAGCAAGCAAAGCAGACTCCCCCAATCAACTCCCCCGGACAGTCACATCGGTAATCAACATAATCGCTAGAATAGACGTCGCAAAAGGAAACATAGAACACATTTGATACATGTGGAGAATTAGCAAAGAAGAATGAGATGGGAATTAAGCAGAAGCATAGACAGAAGCCATGACGGACACTTTATTGTCCAAGATGCATGTTGGGATCAACATGGTCTTGATGGTGGGTATGATGCGGATGATGCTGGTGATGGTGATGATGGTGGTGATGCTGTCCAAAAGCTTCACCATGTACCTCCTGGCCCAGCGTCTGCATCAGGTTCTGCTCGGCTGTCTGGTCAAACGCCGCATGCGCTCCAGCATCCGGTGGCATTGGCGACGCCGACATATCGTGGCCATGTGCCAGTCCAACAGGCTGCGCATGCGCACCGGCAAGCGCCATCATGCCCTTGATGCCTTCGACATGCGCCTTGTCCTCTTCGCCCTGCTTCTTCTGCCGTTCGCGGGCCTCGCGTTTGGCTGCCTGCGCGGGCGCACGCGTCTTTAGCTCTCCCGTCACAAACTTCAGGTAATACGGCACTTCAATGCCACTCTTGAGGAAGAACAGCTTCAGGTTTCGCGCCTTGTCCTTCAGTTGAACCTGGTTGCGGTCCTTCAGCGCTTCGCTGATGGTGCCTCCCGGGCCAAACATGGCAAGTATCTGACTCCAGTGCGGGCCCTTAACCCGGTCCAGCCCGGCCATCAATGCGTTCTCCTCCTCCGTCGTCCACGGCCGACGCTGGCTGGGCAACCCAGACTTGCGGCTGCTAGGCGACGACTTGGCAGATGCCGCCATGCGCGCGCGCTCGTAGAGGACCTGAGTCGGCTGCGACTGCGAGTAGTGTGGTATCCCCGGCATATAGCCATGGTTGGCTGCGGCTGAGTTTGGTCGCGGAATCGAAGCAGGCGTCACATGGTTGTATTGCTGAAAGTTCGCCTGGAGAGGGCTTTGCTGGAAGGTTAGTTGGCCGGGCGGTTGCTGATAGCCAGATGGAGCGGGACTATGGTGATACGGCTGCTGATGAGTCTGTTGATGCTGCATCTGACCCGTGGGCTGGGCAGCAGAATAGCCATGCAGGATCTGACCCCCCTGCTGCGGCGCATGTTGAGGGGGTTGCTGCTGAAGTTGCTGGGGTTGATGCATCTGATGCTGTTGTTGGTGCTGCTGTGGTTGCTGCTGCGACGGTTGCTGCTGCTGGTTCTGTTGGGCCTGCTGCTGCTGGGAACGTCTCAAGCCGTGGCCTTGCAGAGCAATTTGCGCCGCACGAGCCGCACGCGCAACCAAGTCGCCGTGCATGTTTCTATCAACGGGAACATCAGGTGGCTGGGTTGAAACCGGGAACTGGCCCTGCAAGGGAGCATTGGACGGTTGTGAGTCCCCGTCGGATGAGGATGGTTGTCGACCCTTGGCGGTCTTTTTCGTCTGGCTCATCGTTAGTGCGAGCACGTGCAAAGAGGGCTGATGGGGATTCAGACCTGTTGGTTGCTGATGGTATCAAAGTTCTTGGTGATGTAGGAGCTCAGGTCCCGAAGGAAATCCTCCCAGTGGTACTTATCCGGCAAGGCCTTCATGGCTTCCTCGTTGTTGACGTCGCTCAGCAGAATGTCACGGCGCGAACCGGCCCGCTTGACAAAGTCCGCTTCACTGGGAGCCAGCTGACGAGTCCCTGGACGCCGATCAAGCAGCTGTTGCTCCAGCTCATCGGGAAACAGGTCGTAAAGGAGCTCAGTTCGGGTTCTTTCCGAATTATTCATCGATGCGATGAACGCCTGGGTCTTGAGTTCCAGGAACAAGGCACCCTGCACCTTGAGTAGACGACCACCTTCGGGAACAAACACATCGAGGAAATTATCGTTCAATTCCGAGAAACCAATCTCCTGCGTGCCAAAAATACTGGAAACAAAGGAGGCTAGATTGGCTTTGCGAATAATATCGATCTGGGAGGATTCGGTGAGCTCCAGCTCTGTAGGCGAAAGAAATGACTTTTTGCTCGAGTAAACTTTTTTCGTATGATCAAACAGCGATCGCATGGTGGCATAGGCCTGGCCACTCTCGGTCTCGGGTTCGGAAACGAAGGAGGTGATTTCCTGATACGAGGACTTGGCTAGCAGCGACAGAATCTGGGTTGACTAGAGACATCAGGCGTTAGAATCCTGTAAGCAAAAACACGCGAAGTGAGTCGCAACTTACCAAATTGTCAAGAATGGGCAAACTCTGGATCTTCAGGTGCGAGTTGGCTTTGACGAACACCATACCCTTCGGAGGCGACGCGCTGGACGTCTCCGCCAGTTGCTGCTGGCCTAACACACACTGCTCCTCCACTCGCTCTGCGTGATTCATGATGCTTGAGATCACAGTAGCCATGTCCGAATCAATATCAGCACTGCTTTCTGGTTGGGGCACCGCGCTTTCTGCAGATCCTTCGATGGGAGCGGGCGTGTCTAGAGGACGGTCCACGGGGTGGTCCACAGGGTCGACAACACCAGAGCCTAGTGCAGATGCCAATTCTTCTTCAATCTGATTTCCCGGGACTTGGTCTGCAGTTAATGCGGTCGGTGGAGGTGGTAGTGAAAGGTCAGCTGGCTCGGATTCGAGACGGCGTTTCTTAGAAGCTGGCGGCGAGAGGGAACCGTCATCTTCCTCGAGAGGGTGAGACATTTTGGGGGAAACTGCCGTAAATTCACGTCAACCCTGTGAATAGAAACAAACAGAGCATACATAAAGTCTTGATCACCGCAAGAGACTGGCCCCAGGGTGTCTGGTTCGAAGACAGTCTGCCCAGGGAGGTGCCGGGGCCAGCGGGAGCAGAGAGACTCCTTCAAACGGCGCGCAGGAGAACTCACCATGAGCGGCGGAATCGGTCACGGAGGGAACAGGCAACTCGGACGAGGCCGCCTCGTCGAGAGACGGGCCTGTACCTCTCGTGTCGACCATGATAGGAACAATTCCTGATGGAAGGGATAGGCGTTGACTTCCAAGAGCAGAAATGAGGGCTTAGGGGTAGGGCGCAGGCGTAGGGCTTTTGGGAAGTGTTAGGTTGAGAATCGCCCCCTCAGATTTTTCCTACTTTTTCCCTCTCCGCCGCCCGGTCGGTCGGGGAACTCGGCTGGGGGTGTGGATTCCAGCTCCATATTATTCCTGGGGATACTCACATTGTAGATAATTTACTAGCTTGATCTGAAGATTTGTATTTCTCTTAAAAATTTATAAGTTTCTTTCTTTATTCATAATAGAAGATAGCATATCCAGTCATGTCTGTTTGGCCATTCCCAGGTCTGTTGTAGTACTTCTGTTGTGTTTCCCCGACCGTCTTCCCTGCCTTTCCTCTTTCGGAAACCCATTCTCTTGTCTGCCTGGGTGCCTGATCCTCCACTTCTCTCTCTCTATACTCATGATTCTACTGTTACTCCTTCTCTTCTTCCACCACTCTTTTGTCCATCAGCCCTTCATCCGGATTAGGCTTCACTCCGCGAATACAAATTCGTCCCTAGTGTATCATTTGATCGTTATCCAACCCCTCAGTGGTAACATTCATCCAAGGTTACTTCCGTCCAATGCTACTTTATCCATGCGTCATAGACTACCTCCCATCTCTTTCTAGACCTCTACTATTAACCATTGCAACACACTGACGTGCTCTAGCTAAATTTTCAGGATACTTGGAGACTGGTACATTGGCATCTGCAAAACGAGCCTTTCCCCGAGTATGCCAACAGGTGACAGTAGATAGACACGTCTATCACTACAGCTATATCGAGAGCACGTCCTCCTCCGAGGGTCTTATTATACCTGTCTTTATGGCATTTGTAGGCATACTTATGACTGCAGACACAGTACTGAGTATATTTTAAAGCAGCTCAGCTCTGAGTGTCGGACGGACAAAGGCAATTCCCATGGTTCTTGAATGTATGCAAGATGATTGCGCCGTTACGTCCGTGGTCTGTACCAGACGTTAACCGGCCATTGAATGAGTCCAGACACGGACCGGTCCTTGAGTTTGACACCTCTAGGACCCTCCTCGCCCTATATTCCATGGGCACTCCCCGCAGGTTCAGCGTTTCCCTATTTGACCTGGTTCCGGTGCTGCCAATGCTTTTTATCTGGGGCCCTCCCACTGTTGGCTGATAGAAACTCATTCGCGTATACGTGATTGTGCTGGGTAGTCTTCACTCATAGTGTCGACTGAAAATCTTCACTTTCATGAGAGGCCGACTTTAAGAAGCCCCGCAATGTTTTCTACGCGCCAATTTGTCGCTCTTGCGGCGATCCTGCAGGCAGCTACTCAGGCTTCAGCTCAGGACTTGAAAGAGCAAGTTTGGGCGGTATTCGCCTACACCCTATACGGAGATCGTGTCCCGACAGCCCTGCCTCGTCCCAATATATTGACACCATATGGTGCCAACACACTGTATGAAGCTGGGTCTGCTTTCCGAGACCGATATGTGGCAATTCATTCGACCGACGTCAGCCCGAGTACAAGAATTGAGAGCATCTCTACGTATGCGCTCGAAGACGAAGATCTTGATATTCTGTCTACCACCGATCCATCGGTCATCGCGTCCGCGCAGGCTTTTATGCAGGGGCTATACCCACCTCTCAACGATACTTATGATGTGCAATATCCCGACCCTTCATATCTCATGGCCAATGGGAGCTTTGCAACTGCTCCTATGGGTGGCTACCAATATCCACCCATTGTCACCGTGAGCTCGGACGACCCTCAGTCGGTCGTAGTGGCAGGCCAAGATAATTGCTTCCTGCATCAGATCGCCAATGCTGACTACCAGGCTAGCAGCGAAGCTCAGCAGATGATACAGGAGTCTGACGCGCTCTACAACCGTCTTTATACCCAGGCCCTGTCGGGCGATTTTGACCGCTCTTCAGTCAACTATGCGAACTCCGTCGCGGTCTCCGAATTCTTAGAGTACCAGCTCTTGCACAACGAGACACTGTTACACAGCGTCAGCCAAGAGGACATAAGGCTCGCGCGCTGGTATGCCGATCAATATACCTTTTCAACAAACGGCAACGCAGATTCATCCTTGTCAAGTCCAATTGATAGCAGTGCCATTCGCACAATTGCAGGCCAGACACTGGCCGGAAGTATCTTGGATGCATTCGACACCAATGTTCTTTACCGGGGTAACAGTGGGAAATTGACATTCGTCTTCGGAGGCTACGAGCCCGCTGTCGCTCTTACCTCCCTTGTGCAACTTGCGTCCCCAGCAAATGGAAAATTCTATGGACGACCTGCGCTCGGGGCCTCGCTCACCTTTGAGCTCTTCAGCTTGGAGAATCAATCGTTTCCGACCTATCCCGACCCATCTCAGCTTTATGTGAGGTTCCTCCTGCGCAATGGAACAACATCACCGGAGTTCCAATCCTACCCGCTTTTCGGTCATAGTCCCAGCAGCATCGAGGTTCCCTATAGCGAATTTAAGGCTGAGATGCAGGCATTCTCGCTCAATTCGACGCAGGAGTGGTGTCTCCTGTGTGATTCGACGTCGTCAACTGTATTCTGCCCTGGTGTCCTGGACGATGAAGACGACGGACCGAGTAGTAGCGCAGCCTCTTCCTCCGGACGCAAAGGTATTAGTCCTGCCGTTGGAGGAGTCATCGGTGCGATTGTGACTCTAGTTGTCGTTGGGTTGCTTGCTGCTGCCGGGTTCCTGCTCCTCGGGGTCCGAGTACAGCGTGGACGCAGGGCGAGCTTGGAGGAGATTAAAGGAGGCATTGATTTAGGAAGTGAGTCAAACCTGGCCTTGCGGGAACATGCTGCGCCGCCAGGAAAGACGGCGAGGCCTTGAGCTTGGATTTCCTGGTGGGCCTTGAGCTTGATACCATTGGAAGCAAGAGAAGTATAATAATTAAACAGCGGTCTTGGGTGTTTTCAGTTTTGGGAATTATGCTACTCGACTATAATACAAAAAGCTACATATTATGTTAGCAGAAGATCTGTTCTGCATCTAATCATAATTGTCTTTGGAAAAGAGATGGGGTGACAGAAAGCAGTCAATACAGCATAACCCAACGTTTGAGGGATACTTAATCAAATGCCTTTATAACACCGCTGATTCATCCACTTGAGACCGGTCCATTTTGAACAGTTCATTTTGACCAACCATTCCACTCGAGATGAGTACTGGTAGCCAGTGGCCAGGTATTTCAGGAGTGCCATAAACATTTCTTGCCTATCTGAAGACTTGCTAAGGTGGTAGTAGTAGCCCTGGTGCCTTCCCATCCGAGGGCCACTCTCTGCTCCAGCGATCGACTAATTTCAAAGCAGGGGCATATAGTACCGAGTACTCTGTATCCTGGTCAAACCACGACGCGAAATATGAGGTTGACGATGCGGAAGGAGGTAATCTGGTGCAGTAGTTTAGCCGAAAGATGTTCGCTTCTCGGATGACATGAATTTCGGGGTGGATAATGCTAGACAACGGCAAGCAGGGGAGCAAGGGGGAACACGTTGAATGGTCGCGTCAGATCGGGTGCTGAATGGTTCGAACTAAACTGTCTAGTAGAATTGCCTAAGTACCCCTCGGGTGGAGTACAGCGTTTATGTCCGCGGCGGATTGAAAGTTCTCCGTTCCTTCACTTGTACGGAGTACATCATCGTTCTTACCTATAGAAGGGCCGAACTTCACATTCTTAGCCTATTCAGCAGCACCTCCTCAAAGGAAAAGGAAGAAATAAAATTGGCCGCATCGAATAGCACAGTAGTACATCACGTCAAATTGGTTCACCCTATTAACATCTTTGACGTGTCATCCTCTCTTTCGCTTGTGTTGGGAAACACCTGACATTTGACGAAACATTGCATACTGCGCTCTGCGCAATGGTACAAATGAAGCGGTCGTGCTCTGGCTCGCCTCTCCCCTCTAAGCGCGTTCCTACAACCGCTTGCCTTACAATTGATGCTCTTAAGGAGCATGACCAAAACGCACGCCCCGTCTCTCTTATTACGCGTCTCGATATCGCTCCAGAGCAAAGTATAAGCGGCATACCAGAAATCCCGGTGCTTTCCCATCCACCCGCTCCTCACAACGGTCACGGTCCAGCAGCCCATCCAGGCTAAGTGATGCGCAATATCGTTACAGACTTCTCCGGCGTGCGAATATTTTTGTTGACGATGATCTTCCCATCGACATCCAGCATCATACAGATAATAAGGTTTTCTGTGTATTAGATGCTAACGATGATAACTTATACAAGGTCTCCGAGAAGCTCTGGAACAAATCTAAAGAACTGGTCCGGAAACAGTCAGAGAAGCTGAATGGACAGAAGCATTATACACGGCAATTGACGAGCTAAAACCCGGTGGGCTCGAAATTGCGCGCAATCGAGGTAAGCTGACCCCCTAATGCTCTAACACTCAACCATGCTGACTTTTTAAGACTGGCGTGAGGATCTGAAGCCTCCAGTCTATAACCCTATTGCTACCATCCCGCGAAAACGAGACCGGTCACAACAGATCGTACCCGGTAGCACAACCACCGACAACCTTTATAAATCCCCCTCTATCAACCCGGCTGAACCAACCATTCCCATATTCAAAGTCAAAGATCCACGTCCAGATATAGGTGTTGGTTTGTCCGATGAGAACTTAGCAAACGCCCTTGTACCCAAAAAGGACCGTAGCATCGCACGAAGATTTCTAGTTGACCTGCAAGAGACCTCCAGCCTTATCAGTGACCCCCATGTGACACCTCTTGGCCTTCGATTTCCCTTTTTGGTAGTCGAAGCAAAGGCTGCTGCAACTGGAGGAAACTTGTACCAGGCACAGAACCAAGCTGCAGTAGGTGGTTCAGCAGCACTCCAGATCTTCAAAAACCTCTCGGATCTCCAAGATATGGACGAAGGCCAAGGAACCACCGAAGACAGTACTGTGGTGGCCGAAGATTCGCCTAACGCCAAATTGTGCCTCGCTTTTTCTGTCACCACAGAGGGTCCAATCCACGAGTTATGGCTTCACCTTCAGAAACCTCGAGAAGAGGATTTTTTATGGTGTGTTTGGGTGCCTGGAGAACGACGTTGAAAGAGAGTTCAATGAATTTCTTGCAGCATCTCTTAGCTGTATTAAGATGGGGAAATGGTGGGTTAAAAGATAACATTATAAGTATTCTTCAGGATTTGTGATCTCTCCGTCGCCTGGTTGGATAGACGCGATATAGGTTAGCGCGTCGACGTAATGTAACCAATGGATGTTGGAACGATACTGCGGGCAGGCACTTCACCAGAGCCTTTGCCTGCTATATAGCTTCTCCCTAGAGACCTTCCTAGTCCTAGCTAATCTCAAGCGTCTAAAAGAGGAATATAAAATAAGAAAAGGATATCAAACGAGAAAACGGGTGCAGTCTGACTGATTGAGATGACTCAATGTCACATGTTTCTCAATCAACTAACTTAGCAAACATACGTGCTGAAAGTCGATTAGTTAGTTAATATGGACTGGCAAATGATTGAAACAGAGACACACACACACACACACACACACACACACACACAAGGGTATAACCTACAACTATTACAGTACGTGAGGACCTATTCAAATTAGTAACAACAAGAAGTCTCTCAACTAACTCACATCATAGTATACTTTGAGAAGCTAGTTTCCGGGTGCAGGATCATCTGTAGGCCCGATCTAGTAATAACCAGGCACAGGCACTCACTAATCCCCAAACGGGTAAAGTGCACGGGATTGCCAGAGGGACCGACCGATAAAGTTTCCCGCTGGTTGATACCCGTCATCGTTCTTCGTCCATCAAGCAGATCAATGGAATGCTAGTAATGCCTGTGGAACATTCTCGTCATTGACCATTGTTCTTTATTGCAGAAATTTCTTCAGAGATTTAGTGGCTTTGGCCCCACGCTGGAAATAGAGGATTGAAGCATCTTTGAGGCACCGATAAGACTACATATCGTTGCCTCTGCTTAGTTCCCGCTTTGTTTACAAACAACAACCTCCGTCTCTCTGCATGGCTTAGACTCGCCCTGGTGGCAGGATGCGAACCCAACGATTTGTGGTCTGGCTAGGCACCTTTGCCCTCATCTCATTATGTCTCATTCTTTTCAGAAGTTCCAGTCCTTCACCCTCACCTATTGTGGACCTCTATCCTTCACCCGATTCTCGGCCTCCAACTACTTTGCAGAGGCCCCCAGTGCCGTCCAATGCCCAGCTTATTGAACAGACTGGCTACCGAAAGGTTGCTCAGCCGGACAGTCTTCATCCGGTTGCATCGCTTGTCAAGAATGCTGAGCAGCAATTTGATCGGTTACTGTCACGTCAATCGAAGACCTTGGCTGAGGCTGTCGACGAATATCGAGAGCGCTACAACATGCACCCGCCCCCGCATTTTGACAAGTGGTTCCAATTTGCGAAGGATAGAGGGGTTCAGCTGATTGATGAATACGATACAATATATCATGCTCTGTTGCCATTTTGGGCCCTCGAACCGAAGACTATTCGCGATCGGGCTCGGGAGACGCTGGGCTTCGACAATTCTATGATCGGGGTACTGATCCGAAATGGGTCTGTGTCACTGGTGGAAGGTGGAGCATTCGAGCAGGGCTGGCAGCGTAGTGCCACCGCTAAGATGATCAACAGTTTTGTCGAGTATCTGCCTGATATGGATCTCGTGTTTAATGCCCTCGATGAGCCTCGAGTTGTCGTACCCAGCGAGGATCTTCAGAGGCTGGTTGCAATTGCCAGAGATCAAGTCTCTCAGAATACTGTTGTGAATACCATGCCCATAAATGCATGGTCAGATAGACCCAGCGACTTGAATAAAGGGGATCGCATTGATGAAGTGCGTACTACCCGTTTCAACCGATTCACCCGTCAGTCCACATGGAGTTATTCTCGGTCTTCCTGTCCAGTCGATAGTCCGGTCCGCTCCCTCGATGAGCAGGCTCCGGATAACATAAACTCCTATGCTCAAGGCGAGTTAGGATTCATATACAACATCAGCGCCTTTTCCGACATTTGCAACTCACCTTCCCTCCGCTATAAGTACGGGTTCTTTGACCGGCCGAACAGGTTTGAAGCTGTACATGACTTGTTTCCAGTCTTTTCGCAGAGCAAGATCTCGAGCTACCAGGACATCCTGTACCCTAGCCCTTGGTACTGGTCAGACCAGGTACCTTATGAAGAAGACAAGGATATGGAGTGGGATGAAAAGGACAGCCGAATGTTCTGGAGAGGCTCAACAACTGGGGGATACTCCAGAGCTGGGGGCTGGCGGCGACAGCACCGACAATTGTTCGTCGGCAAAGTTAATGCCCTCAACACAGCCAAGATACTGTCCAAGACCGAAAGTAACCAATGGAAAACCAGGGGTGTTGGTCGAAACTCCTTTACCGACCTCTTCGACGTTCGGTTCACGTACATTGGCCAATGTGATGATAAGGACTGTGCCGCCCAGGAAGAATATTTTGACTTGGCGGAGCCGGTTGATCAGCAAGACGCTTGGGCGTACAAACATCTGTTGGACATGGATGGGAATGCGTTCAGTGGTCGGTTCTATGCGTTCTTGCGCAGCAGGAGTCTCGTTCATAAGGTCTCAATCTTCCGTGAATGGCATGATGAGTGGCTCAAACCCTGGACACATTACGTACCTTTGAGCCTGACCGGAGATGATTATCTGGAGGCCATGCGATACTTTGAATCCGAAGAAGAGGGCAGAGTGATCGCACCAAGGCTTGCCGAGCAAGGCCGGGAATGGGCGCAGAAAGCTCTTCGGAGTGAAGACATGGAGGTCTGGTTCTTCCGACTTTTACTAGAGTAAGTGCACTCTTTTTATCCCCTTCTTTACCCTGTGATTTCTGATACTAAAACACCCATTAGGTACGGGCGCCTAGTTGACGACAATCGACATTATTTGGGGTTTTCGGTCTAGCTTTGTATAATGGCTGCCAGTTTTTGCTATTTTGTTATCTGTCATATTCCCCAACTTTTAACGAACGTATGACATATATGGCGTTTGGGAGCCTTTGCTATGATGAGACGAAACTTTGGGATTGCCAATTGATGTATATATACGATAAATGAGAAATCGATAATGAAACTCATAATTTTTATATCTTCAGTTATGCTGTCGTCCTGTACCAAACACCAATGCACAAAAACCTTATACTCTATACTTTAATAATCAATTGTGGCCCCGTTTCACATGCTGCGGGTCCCATCTGAGCGGGAATTAGGTCATCGGACCCAGTCCTCGTCTCTTCCTCCCACCGAGTTAGTAGTTCCAGAAAGAGAGCTTGGGTGGCGGAGACCTCTTCCAGTCTCGGAGTTTGCCCCATTAATAGACAGCACCCACTTGAACTAACCAGCACTGGGTAGTTAAGTCTATCAAACACACACTACCATCATGCTTGCTCACCAGCCAAGAACCGTTTCCCCTCCACCTCAATCCTTCCCTCTTTCCCGCCTCTAGTATCAAGCCCTTTCTCTCTTTCGGGCTAGTTCCGTCAGGTGGATTTTCTGTTTGCTTTGCTCTCAGTCTATAAATTTGGCTGGCCTCCGCTGGTGGTTGTCGTCAGCTCACTTTCTCCCCTTTTTTCTTTGTTTCCTCTTCCTTCGGTTGGCGGACCTCACTAAGTACTGTAGTACTGGCGATTAAGTGCTGCTACCAGCTGTTCATTGATTGATTGACAGTTTGTGTATCTGCATGGGACAGATACATACATGCATGCATCATGACGCCGACAGCTTGGTTGCTTGGAAAGCTTAAATCAGCTGTGGTTCTGACCTATGGGCTGGGCGGACTGTTGTTTTATGGCCTTGTTGCTGTGAAGCTGGGGTATTTCTTTAAGCAGACTACGGAGAAGGAGGAGTTGGAGTTGAAGATCGGTAAGAATCTTGATTGCTATTATTTTCTTTGTTTACGTCCCTTACTGTGATTGTGCGGGGGTTCCCAAGCTAATGACATATGACGGGTACACAGCGCGTAACAAGTTCTGGGACTTATCCAAGGATTGGGATGGCTTTTCTCATCATATACTTACCCTGAGGAATGGGTTCAAGTTTCACTACGTTTGCAATGATCAGGGGGCCTCGTTGGACCAGGAGAAACCCGTGGTTGTCTTCATCCATGGTTTCCCCGATAGCTGGGCCATCTGGCGGAATATTCTGAGCTCTTCGTCTCTTCAGCAGTCTGCGACCCTTATTGCGGTTGATATGCCCGGTTATGGTGGGACTGATAGCTTGATTGATTACTCGCCTACTAATGTGCTTGAGAGTCTGACCGAGTTTATCCTTGCGATCAGAGCCAAATATGGCGTGGATACCGAGGCCGGTATGCGCCAGAAGAAGCTGGTTGTTGTCGCGCATGACTGGGGTTGTGTTGTTTCTATGCGGCTTGCGGCTGAAGCTCCTCAGTTGGCGGATCGGTTTATCCTGAGTAATGGGCCGTTGGTACGTTATTGCAGAGATTCTACGGGGTGATTTCGGTTGTGCTGATGAAGTTAGCCTCGACTTGCCTCGTCCAACATTAGTCGCCTGCTATCCGCATCTGGCAAGATGTTGAAGACGGCCTCGCGCTCGCCAATCCAATCACGGTCGATGATTTTCAAGGCATTCGCGACTTTGAGCCCGATTTTTCGGCAGTTTCGAAAGTCCAAGTACATCTTTGCTATGCAGCTGCCCATGCCTCTGGTTCGGTATTTCGGAAGAGGTGGAAATTATTCCTTCCTGAAGCTTATTCACAGGGGTTCCTTCGGAAAGCGGGAGTACACGCCTCAGGATGCTGCGGAGTGTTTTGCTAGCTCCTTGGGTCCATCGGTTGCAGAATCCCGGACTCAGACCGCTGATGGAGAGCAATATCCCGAGTCACTGAAGAATGAGCGCGCACCGTCGAGCTTCCAGCACATGGCCTGCTATTACCGAGATGGAACTGCTTTCGTGCGTTGGGACAAATCTGTTGAGACGATTAGTGCCTTGCACAGCATCGCGAGCAGTAGCGGTGGTCGTCGTGCCAGCAGCGGGGCTGGACTGTTTGATGATGGACCCAAGGGGGCCCTGAAAGCTTGTGCGACCGTCATTTGGGGCAAGGGAGACATTGCCTTGGAGCCGCAGATCTGCTTGGATGGCCTCGCCGATTACCTTGTCGCAGACAGTCAGTTGGTCGAGCTTCCTCTCTCGGGCCACTTCACTCCGTTGGAACAGGAGAGCCAGGTTGCTTTGGAAAAGGCAGTTGAGTGGGCTGTCAAGGGCGAGAAGGAGGACATTGGGGCGGTTATCAAGGCTTGCTATCCAACGGCTGTAGTAACTCTTCGGAAGTGAACTGACCCGATCGTGTTGTTTGCTTGAATTGCTATTTTAGGACGCCCCTTGACTTAGTCCTTCCTTCGTTGTCGTGAATGTTTTGCCGAGACTGGCTCAGCAGGTGCAGGGTACACAAAGCCAGGTACACGGTTTCTTGTTCCCGCGCCGAGACCGCTATCGGTGCACTCAAAGGGGAATAAAGAGTGCGGACATGCAAGGGGCATTCGGGGTGGTTGGCTGTCGGTCTGGCTTCTAGGCTGGTCTGCAATCGGAATTTCACAGATGCTTTCCCTTCCTCCTTAAATAGACGGGAGTTTTTCGCAACGCAACGTGCATCTCCTCCGACATCCGGTGAATAAAGCGGCCGGGAGGAGCAAGCGTCGGTGGCACGGGGACGCGGCCTGATGCAGTTGAGCTCTGCCGCTCCTCACCAATTAATCCCTGGCGTTGGCTTTGGCTCCTTTTGTCCCCCTCAGACCATCCCCAGCCAGTGTGCGCATTGACTTTTCTATTCCCCAGAGTGGTCCCGAGCCACGAACGAGCTACCCTTTTATTTTTGTATCCTCCATTTACCCATCATTCAGCGAGCAGATCAATTCAATTCAATTCAATTCAGTGTCGTGTGGTATTCGTAAATCCAGCCAGAAAATCAAGTCTGGTTCCATCCGCATCTTGACTCCCCAGCCTCCCAAGGACTGCTCACAGCCGGACCGACTTGCTGATTGCTGATTATGCTGGCGGGCGGGGTTTAGCTCCAAACGTCACCTGCGAGTGAGGGGGATCGTAGTAATTTGGGGGTGACTAGCTCAGTACCTCGACTAGCTCTCAACCTGCCTTCTCCTCCTGCTTTCTTTCTCGTCTTCGTGCACCTCACATTCGTTTTGTTTTTGTTTCTTTGCATCACTTCCCTTCTCGTAGCTGGTGGTCTCGTGGATCGCGCGGCTCACCTCCCGCCGCAATGGTTCAAGGAAGTGCCGTCTACTGCACTGTATGTTCCGCCTCCTCACCCCGTGATCACGTTGCCTGCTACTAATTGGTCCCGACAGCTTCTATTGAGTGATCACTATCTCCCAGGTATGCAAGCCTCTTCTACCATCGGACCACTGTCCAAAGCTCCCTTTCTGACTTGCTTCCACCCAATCTATAGGCGCCACCGTTCTTGCTCATTCCCTCCGGGACAATGGCTCCAAAGCTAAGCTGGTTGCTCTGTTCACCCCGGACAGCTTGCAGCCAGCAACAATCCAGGAACTTCAGGTACGCGCATGCTTCACTCACGCTAAACAATTCCCACCTCACAGTGCCATCACTGACTAGCACATCTTAGGCTGTTTATGATGAACTAATCCCCGTGCACCCTCTGACAAACATTACTCCAGCGAACCTCTGGCTCATGGATCGGCCGGACTTGATCGCAACCTTCACAAAGATCGAGCTCTGGCGTCAAACACAGTACAAGCGCATAGTCTACATTGATTGTGATGTGGTCGCACTCAGAGCGCCCGATGAACTCCTAGAGTTGGAGGTGGACTTCGCAGCGGTGCCAGACGTAGGCTGGCCGGATTGCTTCAACAGCGGTGTTATGGTACTCCGTCCTAATCTACAGGATTATCTTGCTCTTAGAGCACTGGCAGAGCGAGGTATCAGCTTCGATGGCGCTGACCAGGGGCTTTTGAACATGCACTTTCGCAATTGGCACCGACTGAGCTTTTCGTACAATTGCACACCCAGTGCGAACTACCAGTATATCCCCGCCTACAAGCATTTCCAGAGCACGATCAGCATGATCCATTTTATCGGTGCCCAGAAACCCTGGAATATGGCGAGGCAGGTGGAACCGATTCATTCTCCGTATAATCAGTTGCTGGGAAGGTGGTGGGCTGTCTATGATAGGCATTATCGCCCTGTCGTGACTGTGAATGTTAGTACTATACCTATGGATAGCCATTGAGGCATATTCACATAGTGTTTGTGAGCTAATGATATCAGCAGCCAATCCAACCAACCAAAGCTCTGCCTACAATTCAGGTGGAAAGCCCACACCAGGAATTTTCTGGGGGACCCCAGCATGATGTACAGCAGCCGCCACACAGGGAGTATACGGAGCATGTATACCATGACCAAGCTCGAGAAACGCACTTTGAACCGTCGTCGCAAGCGCAATACCAACCCCCGCAAGAACACCAACAGATATCTCACCAGGACTTCGCGCCGTTCCAGCCAGCTCAGCCACCTACTCATCCACCAGCATCGACACCAAGCTACCATACACAAACTGCGCACGAGGCTCCTCAGGTGCACCAAACGCATGAAACTTACCAAGCGCATCCTCAACAGAGTGTGGCAGCCCCGGCTCCCGAACCTACGCCTGTAGCAGGCTCAAGTAGACCCACTGAGCACGAGCAACGACAGGAACAGCGTGCGGTTGAAAGTGTACAAGCCCCAATCATCAGTGCCGTTCCGCGGTATGTTCGTGGAGAGGAGCATGTGACGGCATACATACACCCTCAATCAGGCGAGACATCATTTGTAGCCCATAACGAGCCGCAATCGCATGCACATGAATTTAGCGTGCCATCAAATGTACAAGCACCTCCCCCACAGTCACAACATGTCCAGCACGAATACCACCAACAGCCTACGGCGCCAGTCCATGTGCCTGAGGAGCAGCCACCTGCACCGCCATCGCCAAAACCTGAAGTACAGACTACGTTTGAGCCACCCAAGGCAGAATGGGATGCATCTAAGTAGGCTTCTCAATAACCTCACTAAACTGCTTGTTTCTGACGCTTCTAGGGAACCACCGCCATTGAACACAAAACCAGAAGGTATCGCTTTGGCAAAGAAGACGTACGCCATGTCGCAGGATGAGCAGCTTTTCCAACCTCCACAGTCTTACCCGGAAGCACCTAAGAACATGTATTACGACGTCCCTAGCACCAAGCCGGAGCCTGAAAAGCTCGCCCAGGTATTCCCTTGGGAGAGTCATGCACCTAGACCAACGCGCGTGTTCCCAGAAGACGACCAGAGCTCAACTACATTTACCCTTCCAAAATCCTTCATTGAAAGCACGGAAGACGAGTCTGGCCCATCGCTTGATTCTCGAGTGACGTCCTGGACATCTGAAGAGCCCACCGAATCCTGGGACACGTACTCGCGGTCTAATGCATGGGATGAGATCCCGGAGATCCAAAGATACATTCAATCCATACAACAAACCCGCAAAGGCAGGGTGCAGGTGCTCACCGGCGGCCCATCCAGCACAGGACAGAGCCTGGTATCTGGTCAAGAAAGATACAACTTCAGCTGGTCCAACAATACGCGGGTGACAGACTTCCCCAGCGAGCAAGAACGGCCAAGCCTCCCCGTAACCCCGGCACCTATTCGCAGGAAGCCCCCTATCCCAGGTGAAGAAGACTTCGACACAGGGCTACTACCGCCCGCACACGGTGTGCCGAACCAGGAGGACTGGGTGGGTATCACGGTTGATATCTTTTTGCACCTCCTTCGAGCGACGTACTTATATTGGAGATTTACAGAACCCTACAGTCGGCCTCGAGGACCTTCGTCGACGTCAGTCCGAAGTGATGGAAAATCCAGATTTGCTGTTTGAGCGGATCTTGATGCGCTCATCGGCTGCTTCTGGTCATTCTTGAGGGAGTCACAGTAATGAGTTACGTACGATATTATGTATGAATGCGTTGTTTTGAGCATTGATTTACTTGTTTATTCCACAGCAATGCGAGTTCTATCTTTATTTCTTAGCTAGCTGTCTTGTCTCACATCTCTTCTTGTTTTTTTGTGCGAAGCATTGTTATCTTTGCTGCTCTCTTCTTGTTTGTTCCTTCTATACCTTGTCTGGCATTGTACAGTATCTTATTGACCACATGCATATGCATCCAATTGCCGTGTTGTTTCGTTTGCGGATACAAACTGTTACTATGCCATACATTAGGAGCGCATCCTTGTGATTTTGACCTGCTTTGAGTGTTCCAAGACTGAGTTGACGACGGTTACTTTATGTTTATTAATATTGTGGTTTGAGCGAATTGAAAGAGCTATGATTGTGTCATGGGAGTCTTGCGCGCTCTCGCTTCCAGTCAGCAAGTCTTAACCTTCTAAGAATACTATTTACATGCCCTCGTCTAGTCTATTTCATAAACAGCATAAGGCTATCGAACGACAAGACGCCATACAATTGAACGCAATTATCATGCTAGGAATAAGTAGGGGTGGTATAAATAAGAAAAAAACAAACAGTCACTCCAATCAACACCGCTCTCCCCGAACCGAATAAACATGCGACGTTTTGATATGACAGGCCTTGCCGGTCTTATCGTCGAAGATGGAGAAGCCGTGCGTTGCCGCGTTAGGAGGCGTGTATACTTTCAATGAATCACAATATTAGCATGTAATCTCACGTAGAACAGCCATAACGAGAATGATGGCGGAACGTACGATGCAACGATACGGCATAATCATTAGGGTCTGGGTTCGAGATTCGATGAAGGCCCAGCTGTAAAACACGCGACGTTACGCAAAAATTAGCCCTACCTCGCTCAGTGATAGTATGAACCAGTATATTGTTTAAGATGAAGGGACTATTAGACAAACCTTGTCGGACATATACGTAACCTGATTCTCACCGTATATAGTCTCCTTTTTTATTTGCGGTGGAGAGGATTCTCCATTTTGAAGCTTGCCTTGGTCTGGCCAGGCGTAGAGTGTTTCTTTTAGAGAGCCTTTCAGGATCTGCCATTAGGTTGTTTGAATAGTTGGTTAGCTTAGTTCGCAGACGGATAACTTATTCCTAAGGAGAATATGATAGTACCTTCATGACGCAGTGTGCATTAGCGTGATCATGTATTGCGCTTCCCTTTCCTGGACTCCACACCAGAATGAGCTTGAACATAATATGTCAGTACAGATCCTCAATGGCTTTGTCTTTAGGCAACTGTACGAAAGGTGTGTGACGCAAGTAAGATACGAGGAACTCACCAGATTGCTCTTGCCATTGCCCTCGTCGATGAGATTCCTTGTGTAATTCTTTTTCGAGTCCCCCAGCGCAAAGGGGAGCCATTCATTTGGATTCGAGTCATAGCGTTCCATTAAGCGCAGAATGTCCATTGGATCAATGTCATCGGAATCTAGACCCGAGCTCGGACCCAGAGCGTCACTTAGATCTTGGACGAGATTCTCGAACCCATTGTTCGGAGAAGGATTGGGTTTGGAGCAGGGGTCTGTGTTGATGTATGGCATGCTGACTTATGAAAATAAATGCTTTTGTGCTTCTCTTTGGTTCTTGTATGATATAGATAATTTCGGTTATCGGAGGATTCGGAAGGAAGTATAGATGGTGGTAAAGACAGAGTGGAGGGAATGTGTATGGTGTCTTTGAGTGGACAAACTGATCTAGAGCAATGCAGAGAATGATTGTATATCACACAGCATCCATTGAAGCCACTACGAGTCTCCAGCCAATGTAAATGAACGTTGTGAATTGAGTATGGTGGATGTGGGATGATCCCCGATCCCGGCGGAAGGAAAAGCTCTCGCCACAATCGCCGATAAGCGTGGATTGGATGCCTGAACACTTATGCCTGAGGCAGCCTCCCCGCCATGTGACGAAGCAAACGGACAAATGAAGTGGCGGCCACAATTTCAAAGATTGTATCTCCACCATTGCGACTGACATACCGCGAGCGTTTTCGTTCAGGTTCTCACCACGACACCGCTGGAAAGGGTTTCGATCGCTAGGGTGGAAATCCTGCAAATTTAATTATCCCTAATTTTCTTTCTTTTGTCTTGCATAGTCTTATTCTGTACCGTTTGCGAGGGGTGAAACTCGTATAAAACCGCCAAAATGTCGACAACCGTGGAGAAGGTTGGATAACCCGCCACTATTGCTTTATTTTGTTTCTCTTTACTGTTCATATTGAAAGTTAAAATAACAGACTGGATTATGCTGACCGTCTTTGTGTACAAATGTAGATCAAACAAGTCGAGGACGAGGTTCGCGCCGAATGCCCGTTAAAAATATCTTGCGCCGGAATTCGTATACTGATCGGATATTCAGATGGCTCGGACTCAGAAGAACAAGGCGACGGCCTATCACTTGGGTATGGGATATATGGGTTTTGGAGTTGGTTCGAGAGCAGACAGAGCTGATGGCATTGTGCAGGACAGTTGAAGGCCAAGCTTGCTAAGCTGAAGCGAGAGCTGTTGACTCCGACCGGCGGTGGTGGTGGCGGCGGTGGTGGTAAGTGAAGAGTGTCTGTGTCGGTGGATGTGTCAGTTACTGACTATTGGATTGCTAGCTGGCTTCGATGTCGCCCGTACCGGTGTTGCTAGTGTGTATGTCGCAAAACAAGTCTCGAAGGTGTGCGGGTTATATACTGACTCTGGAAAGTGGTTTCATTGGTTTCCCTTCCGTCGGAAAGAGTACCTTGATGAGCAGATTGACTGGCCAGCATTCCGAAGGTTCGTTGCAGGCGAGTCCTAGTTAACGGTATGGTGCTAATGGTGCTTTGTACAGCTGCTGCTTATGAGTTCACGACTTTGACGACTGTCCCTGGTCAAGTGATGTACAACGGTGCTAAGATTCAGATTCTCGATCTTCCTGGTATTATTCAGGGTGCCAAAGATGGTAAGGGTCGTGGTCGACAGGTCATTGCAGTGGCCAAGACCTGCCATCTCATTTTCATCGTGCTCGACGTCAACAAGCCGCTAGTCGACAAGAAGGTCATCGAGAACGAATTGGAGGGCTTTGGTATCCGTATCAACAAGCAGCCGCCCAACATCACTTTCAAGAAGAAGGACAAGGGTGGTATTGCCATCACAAGCACCGTTCCTTTGACGCATATTGATCACGACGTGGGTTTCTGGAATACCAAGTACGTTGACGTGGTGCACTCTGGCTGACTTGAATCATTAGGAAATCAAAGCTGTCATGAGCGAGTACAAGATCTCGTCGGCAGATATTTCCATTAGATGTGACGCAACGATTGATGACCTTATTGATGTTCTTGAAGCTAAGAGTCGGGCTTACATCCCCGTCGTCTATGCCTTGAACAAGATTGATGCTATTACGATTGAGGAGTTGGACTTGCTGTACCGGATACCTAACGCCTGCCCAATCAGTTCTGAGCATGGCTGGAACATCGACGAACTTTTGGAGATGATGTGGGAAAAGCTCAACCTCCGGCGCATTTACACCAAGCCTAAAGGAAAGGCTCCCGATTACACGGCCCCCGTGGTGCTGAGATCACATTCTTGCACGGTCGAGGACTTCGTAAGGCTCCCTCTACCTCGGCAGGCCCGATCACCCTTGTTAGACGGGATCCGCTGACGCGCAATCAGTGTAATTCTATTCACAGGACGATCAAGGACCAGTTCAAGCACGCTATTGTGTATGGTCGCTCCGTGAAGCACCAGCCGCAGCGTGTTGGTCTGTCACACGAGCTGGCAGACGAAGATATCGGTTCGTACTTCTTCTTTAACTTCAACCTCAAACAAGCGATCATTAGGATCTCCGGGGCTAACTAGCGGGGGTGTGAACTGCAGTGTCGATTGTCAAGCGGTAAATGAGTCTTTACTGGAGCGCGAATCCAATCCTTGGAAGGATCCGCTTTTATGAACGGGGCGAGAGCTATGGCGAATCGAAATCGGACTCGAGAGGGAATCGAAATCGGTAGCGGTGTTGGGGCTGCTTCGCCAAGTATCAGGTCCAAGAGGCCCGGCCCTTGTGACATATTTCCGTGAGATGCCATAAGGATTGTGATTGGGGGAAGACGAGGTGCGCACGGGCAGCAAGAAGAAGCTGGCGAACGCCGCCCTGAATTTTCAGCACGATCACTCGTCTGGAAGACGGAAGCCTGGATGGATACCATTGAGTCAGTATGGATTGGATTGCTTCTTTTCTATCTACTACTACTCAAATCTGTGTGATGCGCGATCCTCTTTTAGGAAGGCGAAAGAGGAAAAGAAAAAACAAAAGCGGCTTTGGAGGCAGTGAGTTTTTGTTACGAACGCTGAAAAAAGGGCTGGAATAGGCTACTATTTTCTTTTTTTCCCCCTTCAAATTTGTTCTCCTGGATCAGCGGTACTTAAGTAGTTCTGCCGTTTTTATATTTTCTTTTATTTTTTGTTTCATCCTTTTCCTTCCCCTCTTCTTATTCTTATTTTTATTTTGGAGCGTTTCTTCGATCCATTCATCCTTGGTTGATGTATGGTCGAAGCCGAGTGTCCCGATCCGAGAAAAAGGACCAGTGAAAGAAGGAGAGAAGAGAAGATCGGGGATGTTCTAGATCAAAGGCCCAGACTAGCATTTCCAGTCTCGTAGACCAATCTGAACCAACTAGACTATGTAACCATACTTCCATTTCATGCGCACACAGATCAATCGAGTAACTCTCCAACCACTACTAGTAGTACTACTAAGTTCCGTGCGGAGGGATTTGCTCGCTTACTACTTACGTACTTACTTGCCTTTCAGTTCTTTTTCTTTGAACTGATTTGATTTGATTTGATTCTGATTGATTGATTGACCGCTTCCTTCCTTCCCCTCCTTCCTGGCCCAGGCGCAGTTGTCTCTTTTCTATTAGTAGTAGTAATAATAGTAGTAACCTACAATTTAGGTTCGAGGTCAGCCAACATCCACATCGCTTGGACCAGCCGAACCCAGTCAGGCCTGTGCTTTTTTGACTAGTTAGTTAGTTAGCAATCAAGCAAGCAAGCAAGGAAGCGAAAAAGCAAGAAAGAAAGCACAGCGCACGTCCCTCTATTTTTCCTTTTCCCTTCGTTTATTTTTATTTCTTCTTTCCTATTGCTTCGCTTCAATGGTGTCATTTATGAAGAGGGGGAAGAGGAGCTCTGATTCAGGATAGTACTAGTACTTAGTAAAGATGATCCATGCGCTCCAACGTGTAGTATATACGCACTGTGCACAATTCCCGGTGCTCAGGCAATCTAATCATCATATCACCTGGTTTGTTAGGACCTGCACGTTATGTACGTATGTATGTAGATAGATGGACTGAACACATTTAAGCATTGTTTTTAGTTCTGCTGCGCTGAGATCGGAGTTCATACTTACGGAGCGATCTTATGCGAGGCGAAATTGAATTATCCTAGTTGGGTCTGATCTGATCTAGTCTGGCCATGTGCATATCGAGCTATCTCAATGCTAGGTAGGTAGGGTATGTTATGAGTAGATGGATGTAGCATGGATTGGGCAAGCTCGCTGGGGGTGATTAGGTGGTAGTGATCTAGATTTAGAGACGTAGGACATGTTCGTGGGTAGATAATTAGATGGTGAGCAAGCACAAATCATTATGACTTGAATATCTACGATCTACCAAAGGTATGATTGTGGTGGTGGTGGTGGTGGTGGTGGTGCTGCTGCTGCTGCTATTCTTACCGTTCGCGACCAATTTAGCACTCAGGTGTCAGGTCCAATCAAGATGGAGGATGGGGGTGGCTTTTCTTGGTCCATTCTAAACGAAGGCTCCATTTATACGAGTGGAGGAGTCGGTTGAGGGCCACAATTAGAACGCTTCTGGGGTTAGTTAGTAAGTAAGAAACCTGAGTTCGGTGCGTTCATTCTAGCTAATATGTAGCTAGTTAGTCTACGGGTGGATTGAGAGGGGGGGACATGGTCGGGCACAGTATTTCGTACACTCACTGCCAGGCCAGTCTTCTCAAACCTAGCAGTATCCAGATTGATGCTGTGGTGAATCTTTGATTAGGACTAATTATTGTGGAATAGTAATGCTATGCTCAACTAACTTGGCATTCTAGAGACGCCTCTTGAGCGGTATGAGTAGTTGGATGGTGGAAGTAAGTAGTACCTGACCTTCTGCAGCTAATGGCTGCGCCTGCAGATGCGGACAGGGTCTGGGGTACTTGGAGGAGCACCTCGATAGGACACACTCCAGCAGGGATTATTATAGTAGTAGTGAAGTGTAAGTAGTAGTAGTAAGTAAGTAATGCCGTCTGCCCCCTTCAGCCGAGTCTTCATTTATTTCTTCATTTGCCGGGATGACGTACCTGTCATAACCATACGGTACGATTACCAGGAGAGAGGGGTAAGTACCGATACTTACTTACTATCTAAAGTATACTAGTGAGAGGCGGCGTAATCGGTCAATCATTAGCCATCGTCTAGATACTAACTGTCTAGGCCATGGCGTCAGTGGTTCAGAAATTTTCTCTTGGTTTTTGCGATCTTATCCTTTTCTATCAGCACTGGCAGTTTCTCGGAAATATGGTGAGCTCATCATGGCTATGACTGTCGCGTAAATCCTAAATCAACCCTGGGTTTATTTCAGCACTTACTAAACAGAGTAATTGTTCGACTTCAGATGAGAATGGCTTGATCATCTTACTTACTTACCTACTATCTACTTAGTTAGTGGATTGATCTCTTAATTTCCTTTCAACAATATTGCTGATTATCTCTCTCTCATCGACCGGATAAGTAATTTGGTCAGTGTCTGGCCCCTTGAACCAATAACCGGCTCCAGGCGAGGCTCTTGATAACCGCCTGCTCCATCGATAATGCAGGCTGGAAGTCTTCGTCGGAGTATAGAGTACCCTGTGCATGGCTACTGACAGTTTCTCAAGAAGCGGTCTGCGCGGGCGAGCGGGATGAAGGAAGCTGTCATGACGGGCGGTAATGATTCCCTGCTCATAACAGGACCTCAACTCCTATAAGATCCGGGAAATCCCTCTGCGGTATTACTAATCCTGCGAAGCGGAGCTTGTCCTGCGCCCTGCTCCAAAGTCTGCGTTCATCTGCATATGACGGGCGAGTCACCGTTGCTGTTAGTTAATGCACGACTGCATTTTATTGCGGCGGGCTGGGTGGGGAGGGCAAGGGGAACGGGCTAGGTTGTATACAGAACTTGGTAGCGATGGGGGAGAGAGTGAGACCCCAGCAGGAAATGGTGGGAAAGGAGGGGCAAAACTAGGAACAAAATTAGGGAGGACAAGCCCGAGCTGGAGACACTAAACAGGCTGGAAAGCAAGCGGACAGGGAACCTCAGCCAAGTGGAGCAGTTTAGCATGGCTGATGATGATCATTTCAGCAGATAACCTCCTGCAGTGATGGGGTGCCTTTCTCAACCCCGAGTATCTCCAGAGGGATGATGATTCGTGAACGACGAATTATATTATTCCTATATTATTCTAGCGAATAATGGATAATGCATCCGATAGAAGGGTTATCTTTCCCCCCCTGGTCACTTGCAAGAATACATTGTCTCCTGATGTTGAGATCTGCTCTTCTGCTGCGGCACAGCCTCGACAGACAGGCCGAATGGATGTCTGAAGAAGGCCTTGCCAAGCGTTATGGCTGAAATCTCCCCTGGTTCCCGTGATCCCCAATTCTCAGTACTCCATAATCCAAACGAATTTTTTCTCATCAGATGACCGAAAACGCACCGTCCGACGGACGTTGATTCCCACTGGGAAGTGGAGGCTGCATTGCATCTAAATGCTGCTCCTTCTCCGCCCGTCTCACCTTATTTGCCGGGAATATCACGATGCGAAACGGCCTCGCACAAATGAGCTCTCTTATTATGCCATTTCTCTTCACGGCCATCCAGTCCAAGCAATTTTGCCTTGGATAACGCGGTATCCTCGGCCATCACCATAGCCAATACAACCGTGGTGGCTTGCGCTGGTCAACACACAAAGGAAGCCCCACGGCGATATCGAGGGTTGTTTGATGGATAACGTGAGGAATGGCGCTTGAAGCGGAGAAGGTATTGTAAAGGACAAGGAATCCTTATATCGGTGATCTGAAGACATGGAGGATGGGTAGATGGTATGTTACCTGTTACGGGACCGTAGGGTCTGGTCAGGCAGGCGCGAACTGCACCCGCCAATCTCCACTCCGATGTAGGCCTCAGATCTCTCTCTCTCTTTCTTTCTCTCTCTCTCTTTTAAACAAGTACATACACATACCTCGGCCATTCCCGATCCCACCGCTACATACTCACTAGTCCAGCAGACGCCCGCAACTGTCCACTAGTTACTCATGGTACAACTTGTTCCTCCTTTGTGATGTCATACTCACTGAGACATTTAGTTAGGCATTCGTCGGACTCGGAAGTGTTCCGTTTAGGACGAACCACCCCTCTTCTTGAATCCCACCATGGGCGGTTACGGTGGTAATTAGCAAGGTAGAATGGTGGCACAGCGGTGCACACTGCATGTACCTGGGACATGCTACATTGGAATAAACGAATCCAGTAGAAGCCCCCTTGACTCCTGCAATGGCTTGTGTACCTGACAGATATCTATTATTGGTCTGGTAAACCGGTAAGGCTACCATAAGATGGTGCCTCATTCGGTGCCTGTCGTCGCACACCCCGGCCCGTCCCCGGCCATTTCCCCTTCCGACCTCCTCCTCTACTACAACTTACTAAATACCCTGGTCCATGCGAGGCCCTGTAGCTGAGCGGATCATTGGATTCAGCCAGTAAACGTTCTGCTCTAAGCGCCTTCTCCAGCAGCTGCTGGCCTCTACTATGACCTCAATGCTTCTTGTGCGTTATTTCCTTCTCTCCTCTCTTCCATTTCCCACTCCAGCTTTTTTGGGAGGGGGCGAAGCGCAACATCTTGAAAATTGGACTGGCCAGGCAGAAGCGAGTCAAAAAAACCTTGCGTGTATAGAGTATATGTGAGTTTCATTGGCATACATCAGTGGTGATAGCATACCTCCCTCCACAGGAAGCGTACACTGGAGTGTCGCTTTATATGGTAACGTCTCATAAATACCAAATTACCGGCTTCTCTGATTCGCAGATACAAGCAGATCATCTGTTGGACATTCGGCTGTGCTGCTACGCACGGAAAGTGGCAACGACCTTCGAAACAGATGGCTTCATGGTAATAATATCCGTTGTCTCAATGGGCATTGCTTGCAATCGAAAATCAAACCTTTCCCCCCCCCCCCTCATATTTCAACCTCATTGTCCCATTGAATACTTTCATCTTACAGACACATATAACCTTATTATCATAATAGCACTATGACTTCCTGTCTACACAACAAGGCCCTTCGTCCACCGTCACTTAATCTAATTTCATATATATCACACCGTGACGGATAGTTAAGGCTTGACTGCACGGGAAATGTATTACATACAATCACTTAGTACCTGACTCACGACAGCAGCCTCGTGGCCATCCACCCAAGCGGGGCGGATTGGCAACGGAAGATGCAGCCAGAAATGATCCCAGATCAGTCTCACATCCCTAGAGAGTACAGCATACGTACCTACATAACGTTTGATACCAAAAGACTGAATACGGGGAACTCTTAGCCCCTAGTACTATTTGGGCACTATTGAAGCCCCAGTAAGGCTGCACTTGCATGTAGACCTGTCGCGTTCCGCTCAGGGCACCCAAGTCGCACGGCCAGAGGATCGAAGTGAAATGCAGTACCTTTTTTTCTCCCCCTCATCTAATCAGTACCTGGCCAGACTGTGTTGGAAGATGAGATATGCTGTTTTAGCGGACATTTGGGGGGCAGGAGGAAGAGGAGGGGGGGCGCACTTTGACAGGAAGTTAAATCTAACCGACCGACTCCGACTCCGACTCCTAGGGAGTCAGACAAGTAAGGCTAAAAGCTTGCAATGATTCGCAGTGGCCAGAAAGTTACACCGGACCTAGGAAAAGTTTTACCCTCGAATGATCAATGGCCGATCACTATCTTCACGTTCAAGGCGGGTAGGTAAGCATGGCCCAATGCGTCGAAACTCATCCGCCCAATCCATCCCCTTTGTTACTCGCACCAACGGAGCCCCCCCGTGCCTGATTTAATTCCAACTTTTTGCTATATTCCCATCCCAAGAATCTTCTTTGCCTTTGCATCGCTTCCAGAAGACCAACGACAGCCCCTCTTCAGTCCACTCCTGCCATCCTCTCTGGGTTACAACCTGTGCGACGATTTGCATTGCTTACTTAGGTTGTCGGCCCGGAGTGGACCGCAGCGGGTCCCAGGTGGACCGTGGGGTCCTAGCTCTAGGACCTCATGCTGGTTTGAACTTCAGTCGTGCTAAAAGGAACCGACTCTCTCTGACTAGAACTATCCGGTCTGTGCACGTTCTGATAGGGGGAGCCCGGATTTCAACCCTGGTCAACCCCCATGTTAGCATGGCAGGCAAAATAAATTGAAATCGATCTGCCGCTTCTCATTCGTCCATATAATCTTCTAACGATATTTTCTCGTGACAAAGTACTATGCAGATCGCATTTACTCGCTGATGACTGGCTGCTGGCATGGGCGTCAACTATTGGTGAGCAGGCCCGAGTCACTTCCAAGCAGAGAAAAGGAAAAAGAAAAAAATAATGTTGTTACATTGTAACCATGATTGAATAATCATTATTCAGCCGGATTGCGCTAAGCACTAGGAGAGCGAGGGAAATATACGGAGTCCTCAGATGTGAAGTCTATTATGCCATGGACGGAAACTCGGCGTCGGAATCATATTCTGACAGCCTCCCTAATACCAGTAAGGTAACAAAAACTGCTTCCGAAAGTGGCAGTCTAGCTCAACCAGCTGCACCACTCAGGCCTCATCGCCTTTAGTCTCCTTGAAAGATCGACCGCTTTTTGCCGGTGTCAATATTTTCATATTTTCTCTCTTTTCCGATATTTTCCCCCCTTCCCTTTTCTTACTTTTTTTGTCAATTTCATTTCCTTTCTCTCCCTTCTCCCCCCTCCTCCCTCCCAGGCTACTTACTAACTACTCACTATCTCCTGATGACCTGTTAGTACTTCTACATCTCTAGTGACCTTCCCCTCATCTCATGCGACCACCCCCCTTGTCTCCACCCTCTTCAGTCAGATCTGACATTCGGTCAACGCCACAAAACGACAAGGGCCGGTCAGTGCTGGGAATTGAAAAAATCCCACTTATCATCCCGGGAAGTATCTCCAGTAGGAAACCGTTGGGATTTCGCCGCTTGATCATGAGCGACATTCCAGTATATTTTCGAAGTTCTTTCTTTGTCCGCAAGCATGTCATGCGGGCATTTAGGTTCAGCGGTTTATCGATCCGTTCCCCGTTCCGTCAATTGAACCTTGGTTTGCCCTCGAGGGTTCCTCTCGATTGTCCATAACTTTGGTCCGAGGCCGATCCCATCATCTATTTGATGGTGCATGACCCACTCACATCTCTCTTCTTCCAACTTGCGGGATATATTGCTTTGAGAATGACTGTTCTACAGAATCAAAGGAAGATAAACGCGCATCATTCATACAAATAAACTAAGTAGAGGCGAGACAAGCCAACAGTGGACAGAAAGAAAAAAAGAAAGCAGAGAACAAGAAGATAGATAGGTCGAGAAATAATGTTTCAAAGCAAACTATACTCATTAGGATTGTAAAGAAGAAGGACAGGCAACTTACAGAAAGAAAGAAGACATAGACAAGAGAAAGGAATGACAAAAAAGGTTATTTGTCTATTCTCGTAGTTGACCTATCCCTTTCATCCATCCACCGTTCAATTGCCCTTTTTGAATTATCAACGACATTATGCTTACCATGTTCTGCTGCTCCACTCGAAATCGGGTACGGTCTCTACCCAATGCCCTCTGAGTGATCTCGACTAACCAGGTATATACCACGCTAGGCCAACGGTCATTGGTGTACTTGACCGCCAGTGTAACATCAGGAAGAAAAGGAAAATCTCTGCGGTGGGAGGAGAAGACACCTCCATCATAATGTCATCTTGTCAAGCTCAAGGAGCCTGCTGCTACTTACTTACTTTGTCTGATTGCTAGGAACGGACCATTCGCAACCACGATACGAGCCGTCATGCACCATACAGGATGCTGACCCGAAGTGGTACGAGGCCTTACCATGCGCCTTTAGCGGTATTTGGACCCAAAATCAGATCCCTGCTGGTCAATCTAGATCCCTGCCAATCAGCGGCAGTTCCCCCACCCATCACCTGGTTGGGGTTTAGCGTGCCTGCCTTTACTATTCGATTTCGCGGCCCAATCGTCGTGCAAGACCTGCGTCTTTTAATTTATTTATTATTATTATTTTTTAATTTCTTATTTTCTAATTTATTTATTTTATTTTAATTTTCTTTTATTTTCTTTTTTTATTTTATTTCCCCCCTACCCTTCCAATTTATTTTTTAATTTTCTCACAGCTCCAGGTTTCCTCGCTATCTGAAAATCTGGATGTATCGCATCGTCGGCGGCGGCCTCGTGTCTGGCTGTCCGTAATAATCTCCTTGGATAGATCTGATAGGTTAGGTATCAACGAACCGGGGATCCCCCTCCTCAAATCGGTCGGATCCAGCCCTTCGATGTATCTCAGTAACTTAGTAGTACTTAGTTTCCCGTAGGAGGTCCTATCTATCTGTATCGATTCTCATCGGCTGATGCAGAACAGGAAGCAGGTTACCTAGAGAGCATTCATGACCGACTAGTACTAGTAATCCCCAGTAAGGACATCTGTACGGAGGATACCGACTGATCTACCAGCTAAAACCTGAAGTAGTAGGAGTAAGTATACCACGAATACGCTTCAGGTACATTCCTCTTAGTTAGTATTCCGTACTGCACAAACCTACTACATCCATGCATTGGGGGTATTACTATATCTACTACTTGCTACTTACTTACTTTACCTTCCATACCTACTACAACCACTGCTGCTAGTATACTACTACTACTGCTTTCTCCGCCCAGTTTCGTCCGTGAACTGACGTACCTCCCGTACCTTACCTTTACCTCCATCTGCTAGTCGTTGTTTCCTTCTCCAATTGATTCTCTTCCTTCCCTGATCGTCCCTGTGCCGGTGGCCTGGCCTGTCCCTTTTTTAAACTCCAGGCTTTACCCACCCGCCGCACTTCCTCCCACCCCTCCCCATAATAAGACGACCCGCCTCTCCATTTTTCCGTCTTTTCCCCTTGTACAGCAAAAGACCGTCTCCAAGCTTGCTGCAGGTGTCTGGTATGCGCTACTCTGGGAACCTTTCCGAACTACGAGTGTGAAGGAGATTTGCTCCCGAGGATCTTCGCTTTCCATTCGCTCCAGTTGATGCATGCGAGCGCCTCAGCTTCCGTAATCGCACCATCCTCCCTCGTCTATCATCCGTTCAAGCTCGAACATGCGTCTGCCTACCTTGTCTTGGCCTTAAGCTGTCCATCGTTACTGGACACTACCTTTCATTGCTTATTCCGCCTGTCTATCAATTCCCAATTCACCCGATTTCGGTCTTTATAATCTTTATAGTGCGCCGATAGACTGTCCTCGTCGGGCACTGACTTCGGTGCAACCATTACCACCACTCACGACAATTGTGATATCACTACCCCTCCTAGTCTCTCATCCTCCATATACAACCTCCACGCCTGGGGCTAGCTCGCCAGACATGGACACAGAGAGCAGCCATGCGCAGGAACATGATTTCGCGCAAACTTCCTGGCTTGATATAGGTGGATTCAGTCCCTCCGAGCAATCTCCAACGCTGGATTATCAAGCATTTGGATACGGAGTCGTACCACTAGACCCGTCCTATGGCGTCGATATCCCTCCACCTTATGAGACATTACCAATAGCCATGCCTCCACCCCCGAGTTCCTGGCCTAGTATGCTTTCGAATCAAGGGCCGTTCCCAGAACCGGGCATGCCAGCTGTACCCTTGATGCAGGCACCACCCACACTTGCCCCAGTGCCAACCATTCCAGCAATCCCTCGCAAGGCTTCCACTAGCAAGGCATCTACCGGCAAGTCGAGCACCGGCAAATCATCCACCGGCAAGTCGTCCAGTGGAAAGTCGAATAGCAACCCAACGCCACGCAGGACTCTCACGGATGAAGACCGTCGGCGGATGTGTCTTTATCACGAGGAGAATAAGACAGCCAAGCAAACAGACATTGGAGGTAAAGCGTTCTCTGATCCCACTGAGGGAAGATTCTTCAGACTAATCAGTGCGATTTGCAGCATTATTCGGTGTCGAGAGAAGGTATATTTATTCTTCTTGAATCCCCATCTCCCCGGATACTCGTCTAACTGACATTGTTTTCTGTTCAAAGTACTGTTTCAAAGGTCCTGCGGCAGAAAGATAAGTATCTTAATCCGGACGATGGCAGTCGATCTCCTATCAAAAGGGCCAAAGGAAGAGTCCCAGATATCGAGAAGGCTTTGTCTAATTGGGCACGGAACTACCAAAAACAGGGCTATCCGTTGAACGATGAGATGATACGTGAGAAGGCCCTTTTCTTTGCTAGTACTTGTGGCAGTTCAGACGGCAAGGAGAAGGTGCTCAGTACAAGTTGGTTGGAGAAATTTAAACGCAAGTATAACTTGATGGGTGCAAGGAATCGCAAGGGCTCCTGGACCAGCACAAAGAGCGAATCGGATAGCCCTACTTGTTTAAGCATTGATTCAGCACTGGCATCTGCCGTCCAGTCGCCCACGTTGCTCTCGCCTACATCCCCAACAGGCTTTCTGTCACCATTGCCATTATCGCCCGTCCAGAGCAATGAGAACATCAGGGGCGAGCTTGTTCAGAGTCTCGCAGAAATTGCCAGTGACTATCAACACACGCATACCAAGAGTACAACATCGCTGGACACAACATGCTCTTTCTCTGCTGGGCTCACCAGCCCGACATCCACTTTCGTGACGGAAAGTCCATTCACTCCTACTAGCCAGTCTCTTGGTTCATCCGCGGACGGCAATTCCACCAGACCACGCAGCCAAACATTTCCGCTCAGTTCGTCTGACCCGAGTCTTATGGCCACTGACGAAAACTCCGAGCATTTGACAAAAGCCGCACTACGACAGGCACTCTCAGTCTCAGAACATCAATCTCCCCCTGACGACCATCACGACCAGAAAATTCTCCCAGCGCTTGACACGTCGGCGAATACAATCAAACGCAATCGCAGCAATCCGGAGTTTAAAGCCAAGTCCATATACCCACCGTTGTTCTCAAAGTCTAACACTGTGTCTCCAGTTAGCTCCCCGGGTTCGCCAACCCAGGATGAAGCTAGGAGAGCACTAGAACTTGTGATGAACTACTTTAAACAGCAGCCTTCAGGACTTGGGGCAGACGATTACATGACAATTGGGAAGCTGATGGAAAGGCTTGAGCTCGCCAAGGCACAGCAAGTGACACTCCCAGGAGGCCTCACTCGAATCGACGAACACGATGATTCGCCACAACTGAACAGGAAGAGAAGTATCCACAGTCTTGGCTAGACGGTCTTTGCTTGCCAGCTGATCTCCCGAACCATGGCATCATATACGGGTACTGACTACTTGTGATCGCTAACTTTGGCATATTATTCTACTTATTTCCTTTGGTGTTTCTCTGATGTTCTTTTCTTTTATACCACATAGGACTTTTTAACCGGGCGGTATTCTGCTTTAACATTGCATTTTCATGCCAGATCGAACAATCTTCTGTCAGTCAGCGGCTCTGCCATATTGTCGAAGCCTTGAGAAAAATTTCTTTTGTTGTTGATACACCGCGCGAGGGCAACCTCAAATATCCGGTCTGGAGGGAAGGAAACCCAGTTACTTGATCCTGTTCACAGGATCTTATGGTGTTGAGAGGAGTGTCACATTGGAATACGGTCTTGGGATGTTTGTTCAATGCTTCTTCCACTATTTGGCTCACATACTTTTGTCTCGAGACGAGCATATTATCCAGAACTTACCCGCTCGCGCGGATTTACCTGCATTTGCATTATTTGTGTGTCTCTGTTCTGTGCCTGTCTTTGCTTACTTTCCTCTGTTCATTGAACATCGTTGGAACTCTTTGTGCATTAACCTGATGTGCGTTGATAGGGCTGCCAGCCGGGTTAAACTCAACTGGCAAACAACCTGGAAGGCTCGTGATCATACGGTTTTACAGACTAATTGTGGCTTTTTCTTTTCCCCTCTTTACTTCCCTTTTCCTATTTGTCCTCGCTTTAGTGATTATCTTTATTTCTTTACACCGCATTCTGCGCTATTCCCACCAACTAATACCTTGTTTGATCCTCCCCCCGGTCTTTTATGCGCTGTCTCTGGGGAGGTGGGCTGGCCTGATTCGACAGATAAGGTACCCATCCATAAGGGACCCTGTCAGGTCCTGCCTTCGGCCTGCCAGCAACCGGGATTTCCTTTCCCCCCGCTAGCACGCCTGGATCGGGAGGCCTTGTCATTCGTTGACTCTTCTGCAGGTTTGCCTCGTTTCTTTTTTGACGTTCGGTCCAGGCAGGATGGCATTTTTGTACCATCCCGGTACTTGACCTGCTTGCCTGTCCATGCCGGCATGTGTTTGTAACCATTACATATCATACTACTATTATCTACTATGCTGTCTCTTTTTGGTGATCTCTCATCATGTCCAATGGTGTATTGTTACTACTACGTGACGCCTTTGGATTCATGCCATTGGTGGGTGGGGTCGAGAAAAAAAAAAGACCTTTTGCAACGCCTGTATTCTGGGGCATGCACGAGGATTGAGCTAAGGGAACTGTTTACTTCGACTTAGTTTGGGCCCACCCCTTTTTCTTGTGGCACGCCCTAGTTGACTCCATGAGCCACCACCCCATGGGCACGTGGTATTAAGAGGGTTACATACCGCTCAACTGAGTGGCTTTAGCACTACTTGCCTACGGCATTGCGACGAGAAAGGTTCTTATGCGATATTGGTATCATTAACATTATTATCCTAGGGGAATATCTCGATGTAGCGAACACCACTACCCCGCGTACACTGTACACCGTCTATGAGCCCGCATGGGTAGGTGGAGTCAAATTCGAGGCCAGGGGTACCCCCCTGTCCTCCATTAGCTCGGCGATGCTGCGCTCAGACAACTCCGGAAGGAGCTTTGTGAGAATGGCTTCTATGATGGAATATATTAAATGCTTATTGCAATAATCATCGGCAAAGAGGTCGAGAATCTCCTCAATGGCAGCGAGTAGGAGTGACTCTTCGTGGCCGCAATCTGCGGGTGAGACAGTCGATGACGCCTGAGGAGAGTCGAGCCAGGGCGATTCAGATTCATCGGAGCTATTCAGTCGCCCTCGGTGTCGGGACGGCGGGTTGTGCTCGATAGGAGCAGACGGGACACCAAAGAAACGACGTGCGATTGGGCGAGGAAGCCGGGAGAGAATGCTGGTCGCACAGCGTCGCTTGATAGAAGCGACGTCGGGCGTGGAAGGCTGCGGATCCGGCGATAAGGGCGCTGTCGCGGAGACACCAGACGAGGAAACACTACTGCAAGCGTCACTTGCGCCAGCGGCGTCGTTAACAGACCCTTTCACCATAGGAGATGCTGGAGGCTGCACGGACAGCTGCGGCGCCGAAGCCGCGGCGCGACCATCTACCGCTGTGGACGCTGGCCGGGCGTTCAAAGGAAAGAGCGCGGCCCTAGTCGCCAGAAGCAGGTTTGGAAAAAGAGCGGGGGTCAGGACATGATCGCGGATGGTCTCGTGAAGGAACCTAGTGGAGATGAAAAAAAAAAAAAACGTAAGACAAAAAAAAAAAAAAAAAAAAAAAAAAAAAAAAAAAAAAAAAAAAAAAAAAAAAAAAAAAAAAAA